AGAGAATAAGTAAAAGGGAAAATGAGAGAGGGCTGTTGAACTTGGAAGAGGAATAGAGAATTGAAACAAGAGGTAATAAACTTGTGTTTAGTCGAGGAGAAAAGACTGGCTTCCGCTAAGGATGATGCTCTTTGTTGTACTTGGAAACACACAGATTTGATTGAATTCAATAAAACACACACAGTAACAATACAATATGACAAAACAAAAGTTAACTACGGATTCTGTGGTTGAGCAGCAAAACTCTTTACATGTGAAAATACTTGACGTTTCCCCGTCGCACACACTGAATCTGGGTTTCAGGATGTTTTGAGCAGCTTTTTCTTAAACAGTCATTTTAGTATATACAGACCTGACAAGTGTTTGCTTTATTCATCCGTAATCGATACAAAAGAAAACAGTCTGCCGCTGACAACACTCTGCATACAACATGTGTGTTAGATTATACATCCACACCGTCAGTGACACACACGCAGGCACATGCGCGTACGCTCACATTAGCATTGGCATGCAAATGAGTGGATTGATTTGTTAAGTGACATTTTAACATCCTTACAGACAGCTCTCCATAAGTCCTTAAAAGGGTTTTTTAGGGCCAATGAGGGAAGGAGGAGAGCATTCAGTGTCACCTCGTTAAAGCCAAAGTGAAATCCAGCTCAATCCAGACCATAAAGCTAACCACAAACCGCAGCGAGGCCAGAAACTTCACTGATCCCTGAGACCAATGTAACTCTTGCAGACATGTAGCATGTGCAGAAACTTTCATTTTGAGCAAAAAAAAAATCACCAATAGAAGTAAAAAGAAAAAGGGATGAAAATAAAACACACCCAAGTGGAAGCAAAAATAAAAGCACTCCAAGATCGAGATCAGACGTTCGCTCCTCACGGCTCCTGAGTAATCCTGCTTTAATGTCCGCCAGCTGCTTAATTGCAATCATTCGGTGTCTCCGGTCTGATGTCTAAAATAAAAATAGCATGCCTTGTATGAGTATATCACCCTCTAAAAAGTAACATTTTGACAGACACATCGTCAATCTGTCATTCTCTGTGTGTTTTTGTGGTGGTTTTTTAGGCTTTAAATTCACACTACAGCTACAGATGTTTTAGAAAGGAAATAATTAAAGTAATCTGAGACCTACACACAGAAGAGGCATGTTAATGATCAAAGCACCAGCAAACTGGCAGGCGAGCAAAATAAGCATTTGATTCAGGAAGAGAAATTAGACATCCATTTGAATACTCTGGTGCTTTGAAAGGCAAAAACCTGATTAAGGTGAATGATGACATTTTCTTACATTGGAGAATATTCCAAATTATTGTTACCATTGGAAACAATTCACAGCACACAACAAAGGGGACCCCCTATGCTTCAAAGGTGTACTTTGTCAAATCCTTAACAATAGAAATGTGGGATTCCAGTGACTTCTACCCCCTATCAACATTTACATAAAGACATGCTAAATTATTCATTAATTATCAGAGAGTCCCCAGTGGATGGGGGGTGACACACACACTGGCTGCTAATTGGCCCATCAATAATCATGCCGGGTTCTCTTGAAGTGGCTCCAGATCCCACCTCAGGAATCTGCTATCTGGCCCAACCTTCTGCCACACTTTTTCCACAGCGTGGCAACACAGAAGGTGACGTTTCCACACCTGCTCACCTGAAGCATTGTTAATGGGATGTTGGTACATGCCTGATTCCTGTTTTATACTCTCTGCTTGTCAATCAAGTAGCGTTATGCAGTATTCTTTATATATAAGTATTTGTCCCTGTTGATTTTATTCAAATTCCCACAATCACTCTTCCATGACTAAATGACTACCGTGTTATTGCAATGATGGTATGGTGAAAATAAAAAGGATAAGGTGATATTCGATTATTATTTAGATTTTTTTCACAAGATCTAAAGGTTTGATGGGTCACAAATATACAACTAATTCTTTAGAAATATTAAATAATTTCCTAAAGCAGCTTGGCAGTGTAATTTAGCAAATCGTTCTGCAACAGGAGTGAATTAATATATTGTATCTTAATGTGCGTTTGGTGAGCTGGTGAGGACAATGGCTTAAGATAAACTACAATTGCTTTTGCACAAAAGTTGATGTGTATGGTACATATTTTTATAGACTAATTGTGTTTTTTGTTTTCATGGGATCTGTTGGAATTTTATTTTTACTATAATCATTTTTATTTGATATCATTCAACGAAACTTGACATGTTACTGTTTAAATGAATTGCTGAAGAATGTGCTGCTAATGTGTGATCCGAAGTATTGTCAGAATGTGGCTCTCCTTTTACTTCCATCCTTACACTCTGCACTTTTTGAAAGCACTTTGAAGAACCATGATCAAAGCAGTTCACTGTATCCCCACAGGCGAAAGCCGATATTTTTTTGAATCTCTGAAATCCACTGAGGTAATTTCCTACAGCGAGACTTCAGTCACAGAGTACTGCTGAGCCTTTCGTCAGACGGACAAACAAATAATAAACAGCTATACACTTACAGTGCCAACACAGCTCACACGCACACTCATCCGCCTACTATCACTTTTCCTCTCCCTCTCCAAATGGTACATGCAAGTGATTTCCATAAAGGCATGCCTCTTGAGAGGGATCTGCAATAACATGGCTGCTCTTTGTTTCCCCCGAGCTGATTGACAGTAGATTGCAGTGCACATTAAATGCCCATCAGCCCCAGCTTTAGTTTTAGAAACAGGGAAGCAGGGCCTGTCAAAGGTCAATCCTAGCGCATAATGAACTGATCTCTTTCTTTCTCGCTTAGACGCACACACACAAACACACAACTGAACACACACAAACACACAACTGAACCTCACTCTGCCTGCTTTTATAGTCTGCTTGAATAAAGCTGTTTTCCCTGGTTTCTAATGTTACATTAATACAAATGATATTATATCATAGGCCTTCAAAACTGCTTGACACTGAGAATATGCTGATGCAAGAAGCACAGATAGACATGAAGTCTAGACTGTCTTGTGCTCAAGGGGTGTTCTGTTTTATCTTAATATCAAATGTTTGCTTAGTTTCTTTGTTAAAATGATCAGCTTTAAACTGAACATTTTCAAGTGAGCCACACAAACGGGAAAAGATCAGTAAGATCTCTTTCCTTCTGCTGATTCCGTTCACTCTACATCTCTCAGAGCAGTGATTGCATCTAAGGTGGGCACGTTCGAAAAGACACACGTGTGTAATAACCAGTAGACACAGATTAAATCTACCAGTCTGTCTAGTTACACTTTTCATAGACGTTTGAGTCAGATTTCTCAATACCAGTCCAAATAAAATACACATCTATCTGTACCAATGCCAAAACAATCCTCTCTTCAAGAGCTTACTAAAAGAGAATTTAAGATGTTTTCTAAAAACTCTCTCAAATTGTTATGTTGTCCAATAAGTACCCAAGGAGACTGTCAGTAAACAGGATTTTCCTGTTCCTTGCCGAGTGCCAGCTGTAACTCCATGAACTTTAATGATTTTGGATACAAAGCACTACAGAGTGAGGTCTGGTCACTCACTGAACCACATATTTACTTGGATGGACAATATTTTTATCCTAGTTTGATCTCATAGGTTCAATAATTATAGGTGTGGTTAACCATCCAAGCTGACAATGGTGATAAACATCTCAGAAGAATATAATATTCTAGAAGTAAACAATAAAAACTCAAACAACATGCAAACCAAAGAAGTGCAGGAACAAAAACACGTCAAATTTATTAAACAAATATCTCCCGTATAAATAAAAAAGGTCATGTGAGAAAAAACATTTAAATATAGATCATGAGAAACTCTTTTAAAACACATTTTACCAGAAAATATCTTTCTATTAACATATAGTACATGTAGCATTCTTTTATATTATCGTCGAGACTATGGATCGACACAAAACAATAATAGTTTTACGTTTTGCACCTACACGTTATTTTGAATAATGCTCTTTCTACATAGAGTTAAGGACACCATTTTGTTAATTACAAAATGTTCTGATATATAATACTCCGTCCTAGTAAGTTGGTTTATATCACACATTAAAACCTAATATACTTTTTCTCTTGACAACAGAGGGTTGTTTTGTTCTAGGTACTAATTTCATTTTTCTTCTTTTCACACGGCGTTTATATTGCTTGGCTTCTCATTAGTTCAGATTATGGAATTTGCGACGGCCTCAAAACAAATTAAGTCTGTACTCAAGTTACAGTTAAAACATCATCATACCTCCGCCGCACAGTCCCCTCTTTATACCCGCGCTCTCCTCCCTGATTGAAAGTTGTAATTAAGACAGTGCGGAAGAATTAGATGCAGAAATGAGCTGTCAGAAAGTCACATTTAAGTGAGGGATGCCTTGGTCTCTGTAGTAAAAATGTAAATGATATAAATTGCCATTTAAGTGTAGCACAGGCTAATGTTTTGTCACAAATTAATGTGACACAAGGCAGCAATGACAATCAAGGGCTGCCTCATTCTAATTTGGTCGTGTTTAGAGGGCTTTTGTGAGGAGACAGCTTTACACAAATTAACACAATTGCCTGTTTTTATGAGGAAACCATAAATGTTTTTTCCCTCCTTTGCCGTCTAATGAGGAGAGAAAACGGCTTGTATCTCAGCGTTATGTCGACGTCTGCAGAAGATCAACACGGTGCTCTTATCCGCCCACAACCAGCAGAGAAAAGAACAAAGACAGAGGCTGAAATGGCTCCCTAATGAACTACAAGACACCTCTAATGTTTTGATGCTCCCATATGATCAGATTTGGATTACCTCTGCTTTTTGCTCATTATGGAAATCATTGTCAGATTGTGTCACAGGAACGATTAGAACAATTCAGCTTTCTCTGAGGAACTCATCTCTGAAGGGCATTAGTGATAACTGCTGTTTAGTAATGGGATGGGGGAACATGATTGGGGAGCAGTATTATGTTTTTGTACAGTGTGTATTTACATTTACAATACTAGTAATGCTCTCTTCCATTTACAGGCTCTGGAGAGCGAGTTTGTGTCCTGCCAGCTCCACCAGTGGATCGATCTGATCTTTGGCTACAAGCAGCAAGGACCTGAAGCCACCAGAGCTCTCAATGTCTTCTATTATCTGACCTACGAAGGGGCCGTCAACCTCAGCTCCATCACCGACCCCATGCTCCGAGAGGTGAGGCACATTATGCATACACACACTATTTAATACACATTTACTGTTTGTACTACAACGCTGGTTTAACTCCCTTGGCGGATCATGCTGAGTAAGGGAAAAAAACGCATATTACAGTAAGTACACTTGAGCGTTTGCACTCTCAAATGGATGCTTAATCTGACTATATTATAAAAGCATCTGTCCATTCAGTGCCTTTTATATTTCTGGGATATTTTTTGATGCCATTAGCCATGTTAAATAGGTTGTAGAATGGCATGGGAGAGCCCAGCTAACAATCTACTGGCAGGTATTGCTGAGCCAAGCCTTTCCCCCCGTGTGATACGTCTGAGAGCACTCCACTTTATTGCCTTAAAGCCTCCTCCTTGGCTTTCATTCATTATTCATCTCTCCGACTTTGAACTGCTACACTGGCCTGCCGGAAAGCAACCACACAAAACACTGTGCTGAAAAGAAAAACACTGCTAGCATGCCCTCAGCCAAACATGGGCCTGACAACTTCACCAATCTGCAGCAAAGGGCAGCCAGCCAGCAGCAGGACAATTGACCCAGCTCCCTTTAGCCTTTCCTATGTTTAGCTTGTGTTGCCCAAAGTAGCATACTTGGAGTATTGTCCAAAGGGTTTCTTCTGAAGGATTATTTTAGTTTTTTACAACCAGTTTTATTTTTCCACTCTAAGCCAATTAAACAGTTGACTTAACAAAGTCATTGCTGAGATCTGTACATTAAATTGATACTGCTATCATGACCCATTTTTTTTCATATTCTATGGGTTTTTCCACTTAGTTTCAAGAAAATATTAGTTTTATTTTCTTTAAGGCTGCTGACGACCAACAAACCGAACCCAGAAAAATAACGCCTCCTTGGCGAAGGTAACAAGACCCAAGTTTGCAATAAACCATATTTATTATTTAGGTAAAGGCCCTAATAGTATTTAGCTCTAAATGGAGATGAGTTCAGAGTATATCAAGGGGCCGAGGTGAGTCCCTCTGCTGTTCTGCTGCCCTTCATGCTCAGTGACTGGAGCATCACGGACACTAGGGCTGGATCATTGATTTATCACCTCATTCGCCCTAATTCCCATCCAGATGTGCTCTGGCCTTTATCTACACACAAACACATAAACACACACACTCACCCACCCACACACACACACACACACACGGACATGCAGATTCATTACCAAGGTGCACCGGCCATTCCAGACTCAGCCCATTACCCATTCCCCTGGTTAAACGCAACCACAAAATTGGATCACCGGTAGAGCACTATTTCTGCCAAGCTGTTTCCCTGACAATAGGACAGATAAATCTACACACATGCAGGACACCATCAGAGGCAGGTGCATATCATTTGAGTGGTATTAAAATAGCCCCTCATGCCCTCCCACTTATGACTGCAGGAATGTAGATTTTCCATATACATGCTGCTGAATACATGGTTTACACACATTTGTAATATAACTAAGGAATACAGTACACATTTTAAAGCGTTTAGATTGTGTGCATGTGGATGGGAAATGCATTGCTGTACACACAAATGCATTGCTGTACACACAAATCAATGCTTTTATTGAAAACATATGGGGTTATTTATTTACATTAATTGTCCCAACATTTAATTTAGACTTAAATTATGTTCTATTAATTTTAACACATTTGATACATTTTTGTGAATATATTTATATATATAAATACATATGAAAAAAAGCTGCAAGTTTGTTCAATTCTTAGCGGTAAAAAAAGGGAGTTTGTAGTTTTCTCCAATCACTCCCTCTCTGATGCTGTGAGTCCAAACTGCTGGCTTTAACCTTTTGAAAACACCCTCTGTCTGAGCGCTTTAATTAGTTAAATAAACCAAAGCAGTGTTATCCCTGTGAGCTAAGCCAAGGCTCTCCTTCAACCGTGTTTGTACGGAAGGAAGCTTGCCCTGTCTGTGCAGAAGGTGGAAACAGAGTTCCAGGCCTGGCCCTCGTCAGGGCCGGGCGCTGGGGGTGGCGGAGGGCTTTGGGTCTGAAAATGTCCCCAGAGTTTACCATTACTGAGTGACAACTGTTTCAGCCTGAGCTGTGGTCCGGGCCAGGCTCGGCCGCATTAGGACAGGCCCCGGGGCTGTTCATTGTCAAGGGGAGGGGCCACAGACGCGTGTGTGTTCGGGTCGGAAAAGGTAGATGATTGGGGCAAAGAGTTCTGTATTCCTGCCACACTGTATTGGCAGCCGCTAACTCCCACCCACCCCGATTTAACACGCACACACACTCTGTATAGATCCTACCTTGATATGTTTGTACATACACATGTGTATGCTTCCATTGGCATGTGTATACCTTTGTATATTTATGCGTGCTCATCAGCATAAATGCACACGGTTGAGTGTTTATGTGTACGTTTCTGTTCTGGGAGAGTTTGGAATATCTCAGCACAGATTAGGGAATGTTGTGGAGACCACTGCTGTGTTTTTGAAAACCATGATTACTTCCTGTCCTGCCTCCGCCGCAAGCCAAAACGTACCCCCACTCTCTCTCTCTCTCTAAGAGAACTGCTGTGTGCAGATGCGTTCATGTGTGTGCGTGTGCACCCGTGTGCGTGGCATGCATGCACATCTGTGTTGCCTCTCAGTGTATAAAGAGAAACCCACCCTGTGTTGCCTTCTCATCGTTGTACAGGGCTTCCCCTCTTTCACATGTGATTACGGAAAATCCCACAGCCTCTCACACCAGCGACAAAACACAGAGCTCGTCTGAATTGTACAGCATTTGCGTAATTCGGCAGAAGACGGGAAATATACCCACACGAGTGAACCTGCCTTGACACTCAGCCAAAATCGCTCGCCAATCACAGGGCACACTGGTTTATTTTTCTTGGAGAATATAACCCTTCACTGTATTTGTTTTTTTACAAATTCACAATTTTAAAATATGACAATCTTAAGCGAAAGACGCAGATTACCCCGCAAGGCTACTTGGCAAAAACACAAGGCCATCGTATTATTTATTCCATTCATAGAGTGAATATTGTCAGGACCATTTGCATAAAAGCAGCATGTTTTACATGGAGATCCATCTTGTCAAGTGGCTGAGTAAATCAAAGGGCACGTTGGGACATCTGAGCCATTTAAATGTATAGAATATAGAAAACCTTGATCAGACACGGGCCAGTGCCCCCAAAAGAGATTGGCCTTGTGGATGGCCCCTCATATAATCACCTGAGCATCGCATTGGCATATAGGGAGAGGACATGCTGACCTAGACTCAGCCACTTTCCAACGTTCCACTGCCTCATAAATGTCAGAGCTGAACTTAATGAAGATAGGTTGAGTGGCTTTGAGGAGTCTCATCCTCACATTAGCTTAAGCAAAATGCCCGCTCTATAGGCGGAGGAGAGGGAAGGCACTTTGACCTTGAATGATGCACTGATGTCCTCTCACTAACAGACTGACTGTGAGATGGAAAATGTTGAGATTCTCTGTCAGGATCAGTAATGAGGTCACGTGCAAAGGTGGTCTTTGATATCATTGAATGAACAGAATGGCCTTTTATTTAAAAAACATTTTAATGACGCGTGTAACACACCAGACTTACCCACAATACTGGATTATTGAAGCATATCTGTGTGGACCAGTATGTTTGCAAATCTTTATGTATTTAGGTCTTCATACAGTTAATGTAATTATTTGTATTTAAGCTCTCATGAAGTATACTTGTCATAAAAACCACCAATAAAATAATTCAATTTTTGTGGATGAATTAAACCAGTTTTGGTTTTACGAGAAGATATAAAAAGAATATTTAAGCTCCCGGAGGGGAAAGCTGAATGAACGTGCAAAATTATAGTTAACAAGGCTTCCATAATGTTGAGTAAAATAAGGGGATTCACTAGTAAAGGTTACAATAGAAAGTGTTGTTACCTCGTCTGTGTGTGGAATAGTTTTTGAATAGTTTTAAAAACGTATAATATACAGTTGAGATTGCTCCTTCTCTGCGCCTCTCTGGTTAGTTTCAGACAATGGGTATGAGCAGACTAACTTCCCAACCTTTTTCTCATGGAAATCCCATATGCAGGCCTCAGCCATGAGCTCATTCTCACAGGCTTCGCCAAGTCAGGCTCAAACGTCTCAGCCTACACAAGCTGTCACTCCCACACAGCCAGTCATAGTGCACACCAACACACTGACGCTCTGTCATCGTTTTGTGTTGGCCACTTTCTCTCTGCCTGTCCTTTTTTATAAACATCTATCAAGCTGTAAGGGAGATTTTCTGCCTAATGTTGTTATACCAATTCCCACAGACACTTATCTTGCATTCTTTTCTTTTCTGTACTTTACATGTGTCAGAGGTTGTTGTTTGTTTTTCATTTGGCATAGTTTATACATTTACAAGAGCTTGCACATGCATGCAACACTTTTTTGTGAATTGGATCTGTAACAAGATGTTTTTTGATGTGTTTTTTATTACAAATATTTTTTTCAAATATAAATAAAATAATAATAAATAATAGTTTCAGCTTCTCAAATGTGAGAATTTGCTCCTTTTTTAATATGTAATTTGAAAGTAAATATGTTTGTCTTTTGCCTGTTTATTGGACATGACAAGAACTTTGATCTTGGCTTTCCTTATTTTTCCCCCCTTTTTTTAAAACAAATAAATCCTGAAAAAGTCATTAACATTTTCCTCAATACAAAATCGTTTTCAGTTGCAATCTTTGAGGATAATAGGTGTGTGTGTGTGTGTGTGTGTGTGTGTGTGTGTGTGTGTGTGTGTGTGTGGTGTGTGTGTGTGTGTGTGTGTGTGTGTGTGTGTGTGTGTGTGTGTGTGTGTGTGTGTGTGTGTGTGTGTGTGTGTGTGTGTGTGTGTGTGTGTGTGTGTGTGTGTGTGTGTGTGTGTGTGTGTGTGTGTGTGTGTGTGTGTGTGTGTGTGTGTGTGTGTGTGTGTGTGTGTGTGTGTGTGTGTGTGTGTGTGTGTGTGTGTGTGTGTGTGTGTGTGTGTGTTGCCCGGCCTGACAGTGAGCTGTGTGATGATGTCCAGAGGCTGCTCGGCCGGCGTCTGCTCTGACATTTATGGTCCTATACCTCTTCATTAACACCACCTAACCAGCCTACAAGCCCTCCTGTCCTGGCCCTCCTCTGATTCTGTGTGTGGTTGTGGAGAATAAATTGGTCCATGTGTGTAAATGTGTGTGTGAGAGAGGGAGTGTGTCAGACAGTGAGAAAGTATGTTTATATGTACGACGTGTGCATCAACACAAGTGGAAGCATTTCTTCCTACGCCGCAATAGTTTTTGTAATTATCTCTTTGTTTTCTTTTTGTCGAGACACTAATCTCAGATTGATGAGTATTAATATGATACATGGTATGATAGTGGGTATGAGAAGTGAATATATAAACACAATTTACAATGTTTTTACATCAATGTGATATTATATCATTTTTTATTTATTTTATTGATCAACCAAAATCACCATTTTTAGTTTTTCTTGTTCTGTAAATGGATGCTGAAATGTACTTTGTACCAATATCTAGATACATTTGTAGTGATAGTACTATTCTTTAAAATTGTCCATCCCTTTTATGATATGCAATATGTTTTCCCGTATTTGCATGATGCACTTTTTAGTTTTTGAGGAAAACATTTTCTTTATATCACTCCTTTTTCCTTTTCCCTCAGGCTGTGGAGTCTCAAATAAGGAGTTTTGGACAGACCCCCTGCCAGTTGCTCATCGAGCCACACCCACCCCGAAGCTCAGCCATGCAGGTGGTGAGTAATCACGCACGTACAGTACTTGCTGGCAGATAATCTCAAAGACACACACACAAACATATTTACCTGTAGTCCTTCTGAACATACTACCATACAATATGGGTCAGAATCCAGCTGAGCTCCAGAATCATCCATTGTGCTGCCTTAATGCCCTCTCTGACTTCTGGTGTGCCCTGAAGTAGGCAACTCTGCTTTGCAACTTTCTCTTCTTTTTTAATTTTTGACTTTCTCTTTTCATTCTCATTTTGCCATACACTTTCTTTGTATTCATCTTAAAACTGTGGGAAAATAAAGTCTAGGGTTTGAAAGCATCTCCTCTCTCGTCATTAGAGAGGTGTGTGTGAAAGGGAAAGATCAGAAGCATTTGTGTGCATGTGTGTTTAGTGAGAGGTATGCAGGGAAAGGCACAGCTTTGTGCTGGAAACCTGGGTCCCAGCCAGCTTTTCTACCTGAGCTGGAAAAGGAGATCAACGAAGGAGGGCAATGAACAGCAGCAGTGAAGTGACGGCTTTTTAAGGGCCAGGGAGTGCAGTCAGTGTGCCTGCCTGTGATGGGCCCGGGCCCCATGAGTCCCTATTAGTGTGGTGTCCCTGTGGCGCTGACAGCTGGCTGTAGACCACCACCCAGCGCACACACACTCAGACACAAACTCAGGCAAGGCTTTGAATCCGCCTCACTCATGCGCAAATTCCTAAATGTTTTTATTTTTGCTCTGCCATGTATAGTTTTCAAACATAATATTCAGAGGCCATTATTCAAACACATTTCTAACCCTCCCCACCCGTCAGTATTCCCGCAGAACGCCCTGTTCTCGTTGCTTTTACATGTTCATGCTCTCTACTTTCTCCCATCCTCTCTCATGTGAGTGTGTTGTCAGAGTGTCTGCATCCGCCCGTGCTGGTGGTAATGATACTGTCAGTGCGTCTGGTTAGCTGTCAGACACACCGGATTTACTCAGGTCTGTTCCCGATGTTAACACTGATGTTCTTCTTCTTCACACGCAAGCAGGAAAATGGCCTCGTGTTAGAGCTGCTTAGTACAAACACTTTGTAAATGGCTCTATATGAGCTCCAGTCTGCAGGGACACGGTTTCAAGTGTCAATGGAAACACTCTTTTTCTTAGGACTGCATTGTTGGTTTTTCTATTGATTATGCTAAAGTTACAAGTTTATTATAATGCAACTAAAATTGTATTTCAACGATTTTAGACAGAAATTGTATTGCCTTAGAGTTTGATAAGTACGGAGCCCCTAAAGGGACATGGAAGAAAAAAAAGTTAGAAAGTTACCAGTGCGCCAAGGAGGAAGTAGAGCGCACAGGAGACAACCATTTCATTGCAGACTGTTATGTTTACGTGGGGAAATGACAGTGCATACATTATTTGAGATATAATTTGTACTCAGACTTCATTTTAAGGACATTTCGGCACTGTCAACGGTGGGGAGCCTCGCTGCGGGGAAACGGTGGACCTAGTGGCCCACTTCGGTACCGGCCCATCGGGATTCGTCCCGATGGCCAGTCCGCCACTGGCTCTGTGTGTATGTGTTCTGAGTGTTTGTTTCCCTTTAAAACAGCTGCGGGCAGCAGGTAGCCTACTCTGAGAGTCACGGATATTAATTCATAGATCAAAGCAGACTGGTTTACAGACTCTCCTGTTTTGCCAATCCGGTGCTTAAACAAATAGCTCTACACCCCTGGCCGAAATGTCCTTAAAATTAAGTCTGAGTTCTAAATATATCTCAAATAATGTATGCACTGTCATTTCCCCACATAAACATAACAGTCTGCAATGAAATGGTTGTCTCCTGTGTGCTCCACTTCCTCCTTGGCGCACCGGTAACTTTCTCAAAAAAAACAATAACAAAAAGTCGGGATAACGGGTTAGTTTCTCGTGCGCACGAGAAAGTTTCTTGTCCGCACGAGATACTAACCGTTATCCCGACTTCTTTTTTCTCTCTCTTTTTTTTTTTTTTTTTTTTCATGTCCCTTTAGGGGCTCCGTAGTACAGTGATCAATCGTCATTTATCCAGAATTTGTTCATTTTTAAATTCCATCGATTAATAGGAAATTTATTATTGAGATGCTTTGATAATAAATATATTGGTTAGCTGCAGTTTTACGCAAAAGAATAACCTGGATTTAATGTAAAAAACATTACTGTTTACTACACTTACCAACACTGTGTATTTATGACAGACTGCAGACATTTAAAAAAACATATACAGTAAATACTTTGGACATGAATTTGTAAAATAAATAATGTGCGTCTGATCTGTTTTTCCAGAAAAAACGTAATGTTCCTTGCAAAAAAAACATTTAAATTACGTCCACTCTTCCACTCACTGGAAAATCAAAACTGGCTACTATAGTGTAAAACTCTGAATCCATCATTCTGCCCAGTGAACAGGGCCTTTAAAACATCTTAGAATGCTTTGTCTTTTGTCACACTTTAATTTATTAACTTTTCAGGTGAAAAATCTATTTGAGATTTTTTCCATTCCTAATTTTCCCTTCACACTGTTTCAAAAGGGATCTCTTGCCTTTAACCTCTTCTCCTAACCTGTGCTACTAAATTGCTGCTTACTGCTCTCCTGCTCAAGCTTCCTAACTTTCTCTCTGTCCTTCTTTTCCCTCCCTCTCCCTCTGTTTGTTCCTCACTAACACCGGCTGCGACTGCTTCTCTCGTCTTTCTTTATTTGCTCTTTGTCTGCTGCTCCATATGTCGGCTCTTTTTTCCCCCTCTTCCCTTCATCCCGTTGTCCGTCCGGGGGTCCTGAACAGTATCTTCTCCTGCAGACCCCACTGATGTTTACGGAGCAGATGCAGCAGGATGTTATCATGGTGCTGAAGTTCCCATCCAACTCTCCTGTGACCCACATAGCAGCCAACACCCAGCCGGGCCTGACGTCACCGGCCATCATCACCGTCACTGCAAACCGCATCTTCGCTGTCAACAAGTGGTATGGACTGACAGGTAAGAAACTTGTGTCCATGCACTCATCATTGTCTCTCTGCTTTGAAAAAGGTGGAATAACTTTAATCCTCACATTTTTACGCCATTGTGATTCTGCACCAAATGAACCTTAAAGGGCACCTATTATGCAAAATCCACTTGTTCATGTCTTTTATACATCAACATGTGTCCCCTCTGTGGAAAGAGATTCTGAAAGTTTCAGAAAAAAAAGATTCTCTCACTTTTTGTCCTGATCCATTTATTTAAAAACCTGTCTGAAAATGAGCTGATCAGATTTTGGCCACTTTGTGATGTCATAACGATTTTTTTGCTTGTGTAACCATTACCCAATCACCAACCAAGGTAACCCCCCCCCCCACCTTATCACCTGAATCTCCTCCTAGAGCACCACTGTGTTATTTTTAACCAAATATCTCTCAGAGGGGCGTGGGGAGTGGCTCCTTATTTTCATCTAGAGTAACAGACAGAGAATCAGCACTTTTGAAACAGGGCTGAAACAGAGGGGATTATGGGATGCTGCAATGGGTGTTTGGTATTTCGAGCCAAACACTTCAGAGACATGTTTGTATATATCTCAGACTTATAATATATTGATGAAAAACAGTATAATAGGGGACCTTTAAGGGTTTTCAAAGCAAGTACATACAATCTTTTGCCACCACACAATCATCTTCACATTTGCTCATCTCTGTCCTCCATACTCTGCATCTAATTTACCCGAGAATTGACCCGTCTCGTCTCTGTAGGATGGACGTTGATTTGGGAGATGGTTGACTGTGTCTACTGGATAGCAGTATCAAATGTGACACATGCAGCAGCCAGCATTAGGTCTCACGTCCGGCTCCATACATCAGCCTCTCACTTCACAAAACCTTATTTACTCAGCATCCATCTGAACCCTGGATGAAACATTACATTTGATATCTGTGAATTTATGAGGATGAAGACTTGTCGGTTGAGTTGAATACAGCCGCATCCATGCGCACCACAGAACAGACTGATTAAGCTAATTGGTTTAGTGAGCTGGTATGATAAACACGATGTCTGCTGTTCAGAAGTACTTCATTAATTGCATGGATTTACTGGAGTCTTTGTGTGGCTGTGAGCTGATGAAAGTACATTTACGTTATTTATCAATTCAACATTCAACAATAAAAATGAAGAATTTGTCTATGAAAATGTTGAAAGACATTATTCACATTTTGTTTTTGGAGTGGGTGCAGCTAATGAACATTGCACATAGTTAATGAACAATTCGGTAAGATAAATGGTTTGAGTCAGCTTCTGTAAATTTAGATTGAAATCATGGAGTATTTCTTCAGTTTTTCCTGCCATTTAGAAGCTAAAAAGTTTAAAAAAGTCAGACATAGTCTTCATGTGGAGATAGCATTTGTCAGACATAGAAAGACATATGAAAACCTCAATTATGAAATATTGTGGCACCATTTTTATAGACTGAACAATGAATTGCTTAATCAAAAATAACATTAAGCCATTGATTACAAATTAACATTATCATAAACTATCAGCAGTTACCTTTACCAAAATGCTGAAAGACATTTTATTTAAATTCTACCATCAACACTTGATGACACACGCTAGTACCGTCTTGTATCAGTTTACCAATACATGCTTACAGCTTCAGTGATAGGGTTGTGCAAATGCATGCATTTTATAGCATATATATATTTGGCAGAAAGACCCATATTCTCTGTGGCCTTGGTAGCTCTTTGACATAATTGATGTCTAATTTGCGGGAGAACTCTTGGGCTGTGACTTTATGGTTATAATTTTCAGTGTGGTTATAATGAACTGAAAGCCAGCATCTACTTCACAAGGCCACATGATTACAATATTAATCCAATCTGTCTTCTTCTCTGTCAGGTCATCAGAGCTCAACGGTGCAGGACCAGCAGTACCAACTTCCTGTGGAAATTGACCCTCTGATAGGTAGGCTGTCTTTTATGACTGTGAAGGAGTCCACACACACGTACATTCTTTACATAGTGTGAGCTTATATATGCATGAAATGATTTCTTTTGTGCGTATTTGTGTATGAATCCCGCTGGCATCTGTGTGACTCATGGCGGTGTGCGGCGCGTCCCTGGACGGCAGATTAGAGTTGTTCCTCCGCCTCTGCCCCAGTTCACTCCTCATGATATAGGCCCTGCTCTCACACTAAACCATTTGCATGCAAATTGGAATGCAATGAGCTGTGGCCTAGGCCGGCGTTTCATCATCAACTCCCCCTCTTTCTCCCTCTCCATCGTCCCCTTCCCTCCCTCCCTTTCTGCATCCTCTTTGGTTTAATTTGAGCGGAGGGAAAGGACGCGTGTCAATGGAAATGAATATGAATGTGGTAATAATGTGTGATTGAGAATGCACGGCGGACGGCTGTCAGGACAATATGGGCGCCTCTCATCCTTCACGACTTGTTGATGAGCAGGAGAAGAGAGCCGAGCTGCAGTGATGTATGGGATGCACTGGTGGAGAGAGACGAGCCTCTTCTTCTCTCTGCTCCCACCTTCGCCTTCGTCACGTTGCTGCAGCCTCTCACAGCCTCACACACATCTGCAGGAGAGGCTGTTCTTTCTCCGAGAACGCTGTGGTCACTTTTAGGCTCACCATTTCCACACATTTTCCCTCTATACACTTGACTACTGAATTTAACAAAGCGTTGTTCTTACATTCTCATATTTATCTGCTAGTGCACTGTGTCGTCTGCCCCGCTGTACATGCAGAATCAATTCAATCTTTATCTCATCAAAATGTTTTACGAGACCTTTATAGTTGTTGAGCGTTTTTGAAAGCACATTTTTCAGGCTAATTTTGTCCAATAAATCTTTATAGTTTTGTCTACATTGTTGTTTTCTCTTATCTCATACTTTGTCAAAACTAAAGCATGAATAATGTACTGGAAAATATATTTTTATGTTTGAGTGTGCTATCTTGTGTGGGGGAGGTAGAGGGGATTTCTGTCAGTGATAAATGTACACTGTTTGCATTCCAGAGGAGTCCGAGCTAAACACAGTAAATTGAGGATGAGTGTTGAGCCGAGTGTGGCTCGGGGAAATGTTAAAAATGGGTTGAAATATTGGTTGTAGCAGGTATGCTGGACTTTATCATTTTCAATGCTACACAATCTTCTCTGACACCTGTTCTCCAGTGCGTGTGACCCCGCCAAATAACAAACACTTCACAGTGGACATGTCTCTCTAGGGAAGAAAAAGATTCCACTTACAGAACAGAGAGTATCAATAAATTTGCTTTCCAAACAACGGTAGGCTAAATTACACAACTAAGATGAATTGGCAGTGTGTGTTCTGACTTTAGTGGTGTGCACATTTTGTGAAGACTGTGCTCGCTCTATCATTACTCTTCGACTCTCACGGAAAAATGTGAAGTCCTGTAAACTTAACATCCAGAATGTTTTATGTATTATCTCGCAAATCTTATATTCACCCTGTGCTTAAAACCTAAGTGATGGTGTATTTGAGTGTGACCTATAGGAAAAGTGTGTGTGTTGGGTCCTAGATTTTATATTTCTGTGCACCTTTGTACATATCCTACCTTTTTTTATTTGATTTGCTCATTTCAATTGTCTTCCTCTCTACAGCCAGTAACGTGGGCAGTCATCGTCGTCAGATCTCAGACCTGCTGGATCAAAGCATTCAGATCAGCTCGCAGTGTTTCATCATCACAGCCGACAACCGCTTCATCCTCCTGTGCGGCTTTTGGGACAAGAGCTTCCGGGTTTACTCCACTGACTCAGGTATTTTCATGCTACACTCCCCCCCCCCCCCCCTCAGCCCTCCTATCATCTGGATCACTAAACACTCTTCTGTTTCTTTGGGAGCACGGTTTTAAAATAATGCCACATCATGTCATACCATTTTTTTCCCCGAAGCATGCGTCAGTGCAGGATTTACATGTTGTTAATGTATTACTTGATTTTTTACTTTTAAAAAGGCAATCATTTCCCTTTATCCCTGTATAATTTTGGTAAACCATATTTGAAGTCTTGACATGCACATTTTGTCTGCCTCTAAACTCTTGGCATGAGATCTTTTCTGCAGTGTTTTTATGTCTCAGACACAGCAGACATTAAATGCAAAACTTTTAACTTAAATACAGCCTCTTTTTTTAAGCTTCAAAGTTCAAATGCACCACACCTTTTGTAGAATATTTGTCAGAATATAATAAATGTACGTCACATATTGGCATGAACATGAGCCACATCAGTGTGTATTTCTTTAAAATGTCATTCTTGCACTCGTATCAAAATATAATGGGCACATTGTCATGAGATGTACTGAGCACATAATCCACCCTGAAAATGAACTATTTCTCATTTAGACTCTCCATGAGCTTTCCTCATTGTTACCCACTAGCTAAAATATCAACAAAAGATGCCCCTTAATAAAATACCTCCATGAAATGTGATATACACATGCTATTAGAGGTATGAACCTCTTATGTTAATACTCCCCATTGCCTTTCCTCTAGCACCATCCTCAGGACAAGCCTCACACTTTTAGCCCCACTACTAGTAACTCTCACAGGAAGACAAAGAACATCAATATTTCTATTTGATTTTGTTTAACACTCTTGAATCGTGGAGTGCAATGAATATTACAGCCTCTAGCAGGCGCTAGTAAGTAAGTAAGTAAAACTTTATTTATATAGCACCCTTCTCAACACGGATGTACAAAGTGCTTTACAGTACAGTACACAGGACACAATTCAAAGTACAACTATAAAATGTAAAATAAAAGGCTTAAAACAGCAGCAGGTAATACATAGGATTAAACATACGATAAAACACCAATAAAAGATAGCTAGTTAGTCAACTTTAGCTTCCTAATACTGAAAACAAAATAGTATTCAGTCTATGCTCCAGATGTGCTCTGCTTCATTGTACTGTGCTGAATTGTATTGTAACTTTACAAGTGAAATCAATTTACAATTTATGACTTCCTGTTATTATGACAGTAGCACACAATCTTCTTTTTGTGTTGCCAGTTCAAGGTATGTGTGCTATACCTTTTCAATTTGAGCTTAATGTCTTTGAAGTCAGCATCATTTCCTTTAAGATATTCTTTTTGTTGCACATTAATCACTTTTGTATTGCAGAGTTCAGTGATTTAGATTAGAGAAACTTTAAATTAGGGTAAATTACATAAATAGGAACCTTTTGATCTAATTGGAAAAAAGTCTAGTCTTTCATAGAGGCATTGTATTTCCCTCTATACAACTGACTTACCAGATATTCTGTCATACACGCCTGCAATGCAGACACACACACACACACACACACACACACACACACACACACACACACACACACACACACACACACACACACACACACACACACACAGACACGGACGGACGCCATCAGGTCAGGGGTCCTAAATGAATCTGTCTGAAGCCTCATCTCTGCACGCCACTCCTCAGCTCCTCTACCGATACCCCATTCAGAATCCTACACACATCTATACAACACACTCCGATTCAATTTCTATAGGCCAGCCCCCCTGTCTTTTAATAGAGGAGGGATGGAGCACAGAGATAGCTCTATTGTGTCGCTGCCACCGGGTTGTACGACTGGAACGTGAACACAGTTTAATCGCACACGCTCAACAGCTGCTGCCGCGGTCCCTGAAGCCCCCCAGGTTAAAGAACTGAGGGATTTTATCAATTACAAGACTTGATTGGTACACGTGCACACAACACAGTCTCGTACGCCTGCGTGCACACACATCCAATTTAATTTGTCTGTGTGCATGCACGTGTGTGTCTGTGAGCGGTGTGTGTTCAATATGAGCTGCATGGTAGCCATTATTTCTGCAGCAATCATTACTTATTGTCAGTGTTTATAAAGATGTCAAACATTTTATATCTTTGATGTCTCTGTTCTTCTTTGGGAGTTTAGTCAGCGACCTGCCCAGTTTCATGACAACCCTCGTCTCTGAGATACAGCTTAATTATCCAATGGACAGTGATTTTGACACCCGGGCAGGAATGTCATGTGTTGCAAACTCTCCACTGTTTGACTGCAGAGGTCACACTATGAGGAGCGTAATGAGTATTAGACAGCTAGACAGTGGGGCTGTGGTCTGCAAATCTGACAGCAATTAGCCTCCTTATATATACACATGGAGTGCACACTGCATGTCCACACACACACACACACAAAGTTGAAACAAATATGTATTCTTGTCTAGAATTAGTAGATGTCTGATCTTGTGTGGATCTTGTAAAACTACTAGCCAGGCAGACAGATGATAACCAAACAGCAGGTGGCTCCAACGAACGACCAACAAATGAATTCTAATTTTTTGTTTATAAGTGCTTATGTATTTTGTCCCAAACTCGTGTACGGAAATTGCAAAAATTGCATTTGTGTATTCTGCATACTCTCACAAATATCACATCAATAATTTAAACTGAATTAAATTGTCTTGTTGAATGTTTTAAAATCTTAAATAAAATAATGAATATGCTGCTACCTGTTTTGGCCAGGTCTATTGAAAAAGGCACGTTTTAAACTAAATGGGACTCTCGTGGTTTGATCAAATATAAACGTAACTTAACTTAACTCAAAACCAAAATGTTGAAATCCATTAATAAATGTGTAATTTCTTGTTTGCAGTTTAAAAAACGCTGATTGTTGTTTTAATTTTTTTGCAGGCAAACTGACGCAGATCGTGTTCGGACATCGTGACGTGGTGACGTGTCTGGCTCGCTCCGAGTCGTACATCGGAGGAGACTGCTACATCCTGTCAGGCTCCAGAGACGCCACCCTGCTGCTGTGGTACTGGAACGGGAAGCACAACAGCATTGGAGAGAGCCCGGGCAGTAAGTACTCAGGCAAACCAGCTCGATATGTGAGAGCACACACACACACAAACACACACACACACACACACACACACACACACACACACACACACACACACACGTGGTATTCTCTGAGTGCTCTCTCCCCCAGACAGTTGTGACTGTGTGATTTACGGCCTCCCTCTGCAAAGTAACAACTAGTTTCGTCTGACCAGGCCCGGCCTCCTGCATACAGATTGGATTTCGCAGCACTGTTGCAGCAGGAACAGCTTTCGATAATGTGTTTGAGATTGTGTGAGAGTTTTCTGTGAGACCAGATATGGTGTGTGTGCGTGTGTCTGTGTGTGTGTGTGTGTGTGCGTGTGAGAAGTGAAAGTGAGGGCCACTTAGAGACGTTAAATGTGATGTTGGGGGTCGTCGGCCAGCACATGAAAGTTCACCACCATCTGAGGGCCACGGGGTCACACTAGTCGATAAAAGTGAAAAATGTCATGGGCCTCTCTTACGTTACCATAACATATGGCATCAGCCATGATCAAAGCATCGCACACACATTGCTCAGCCCTGAGCCTGCTCCGTGCTAATTTGGTCAGCTTAGATAGGCGTACATGTTGTTAAGTGATCCATTACAAATGGGCTGAAATTTATGACAAATTGTGATTTGGTTAATAAGCCACATTGGGTTTTTATTTTGGAGACAGCGTGGATGACTGTGTGTCACTTACCTCATACACGCTGATGTGGGAGTTTGGAATCAAGAAAACTATTTGTTTTCCCACAAGTTAAGTCAGTGGGATTTTCAAAAATAAAAAAATGAAGCTAAACACATCATCATCATTTCATTCTCTGCTATCATCTTTTAAGCCTGTTTTTCTCTTTTGTTTTGCTTTATTTTAATCAAAATTAGCAACATGGCAAAAAAGAAAAGCTACTTTAAATGAATGATGATCAGCTTATTATTCAGAAACAAAATGGCTTCCTTAGAGCCTCATTTTAATCATCCTCAAAGCTGCAATTCCTTCTAGAAGAACAATGCATGTTCCGAGGTTAGATGAGGATTTAGATCAGCTGACTCGCATCCGTATTGTCATTCATATTTGAAGGATAACAATTCAAGAATCCAATGTATTTTGATTGATTTATGAAGTTATTACATGTCAAAAAGAGGTTTTCTTCAACGCACCAATGCATGTGCTGTACATGTTCCTTCAAGTGTGTGTGTGTGTGTGTGTGGGGGTTCAGTGCCGTTTCCACACTGCAGCTACAGCAGCAGACAAAGCAGTCGTCATCCAGCCCATCACCACCACAATGTGATGCTCCATTGCCCCACACCACAGGCACCCCTAGACATGAAGCTTTACAACACACACACACACACACACACACACACACACACCAGGTACACACACACACACACCAGATACACACACACACACACACCAGATACACACACACACACACACACACACACACACACACCAGATACACACACGCACACACCAGATACACACACACACACACTAGATACACACACACACACACACACACACACACACACACCACACACACACACACACACACACACACACACACACACACACACACACACACACACACACACACACACACACACACACACAGAGAGAATACATAAAGACAGCAGACTTTTTCTTTATACCTCTTCCAAAAACGAAACACTTTCAAGATAAAGTCTTGAATGAGAGCACATGCGTACACACACACACACACATTCCTCCTCATGCAAAATGCCGGGAACATCCTGCACACTTCATAAGCTTGACGCAAATGCCTCTGAGTGGCTGATATGCACATGTACACATTGACCTATGCACACTTGTTTCCTGCTGCAGGCACATGTTGTCATCTGAACTGCAGCAGAGATATTTCACAGACACCAGCGCCACCTGCTGCTCACAGAGTGGAGAGCAGTTCAAGGAGACCTCTATTAAGTGATGTACTGTAAATGATACTGTATATCTATTGTTTTGAATGAATAGACAAAATATTGAAATATGTTTCTGTGAGATGAGCACCAATGTTTAATTTTCTAATTGTAAATTATTGTTTTGTGATTAGGGACAGTAGTTTCCAGAAGAACACATATGCAGCTACATGTATATGTTTATCTTCATCATTTTTATCATGAACATAGACACAAACTCCAGCATATAGTGTATAGTTGTTTGGTTTATTAACATTTAAGTCTGGATCCAGGAACAATTATGCTTATCAAATCTGAAAATACTTGAACTATTTACAGTTAGCTGAATGCTTTTTATGTTACTTTTGCCAAAAAAAGAGGTAGGTGTAGATATCTGGCAATTTACCGACTTTGAACAGGATCCACGAGTAGCTGGCTTTTTGGTCTATACACACACACACACACACACACACACACACACACACACACACACACACACACACACCTCATCCACACATGTGTAGATAGCTGATACCCTCCTCAGTGTCCCAGCGTTAGTCATATACAGGTATAAGATTGTAATCAGATGTGGCGCTAATTCAAACCAAATGGCAGGTAGAGGCTTAGCGAGGTTAACTGATACACCAATATATCAGCTTTATTGATCTCCTCTGAGCAGAATCCCACATCATGCTTTAATCCAAAGGCTTGTAGGTCATGAGTTTGGCTAACATCCTCAAAGTCACTAAAAGCAGTTAACTAAATGAAATGTAGATGTTTAGGCTGCCGTGCCACGTGTGACCAGAGTTTAGGAGAGCCAGGTGTAGGGAGATGAAACAATCAACTGACTTTACTAAAATGTGATTTCACTTATAAGTACAAAGTTTCATTTTTGAATATATATTGAATAATATTTGCTATTGATTGTATCCCATTATAATCTGTTATACTGTACTCTTTTTATTATTCAAGTGTTTGAAATGGCTGATGTCGTCTTTATACGTGACTGTGTGACTGTTCAGCTTGCCCTCTAGTTAACTTTTTTACAAGAGGTTCAGTGAGCAGCAGTATGGTCTGTAAGAGGTCTTTCTGCTAAATCTAATTAAGGTCTAACAGTAGCCCTAGCTTCGGGAGAGAACCTCTCTGTCTTATTAGAGAACCTGTGTTGAGTTTTATGTCATATAATTGAATTGGGAAACTAAATAGTTTGGCCATGTCAGCAATAAACTACACTTTTCAAAAGTACTTAAATTACGAGGTTTGCTTTATTGGAAACTATTTTACTCAAACTGCATTGCTGTGGAGCAGTTGATGGTTCAAACACAAATATGTTTGAAATAATTGTGTCACACGGCTACAAAGAACACAAGAAAAACATATAAGTGACAACAGGAAGACTAAAGTATGCCATCACTAAAATGAGAAGTTTGTTTCAAGCTGAACTTGAACTGAGATTGCAAAGAGGTTGGGGTCACTTAAAGTCGAGACCCCCTCCAAGGGACATGAAATCTCATGAACTCCAAACGCCAGGTCACTTATTGAATGGGCTCTGTGTTACACCAAAGACACTTTAATGTCCATGTTGTACCGTCATCCATGTAACATTTTAGCACAATTATCAAATGTTCACCTATAGTTTCTGCCTGAAATGTGTTATAAAATATAATGAATAGAAACTCCATGCTTTTATGCATCTTCTTGCAGACAGAGACAGACGGAGAAATAAAGAGCTGTTATGTTTTGTCTCTCACTCAGACAGCTCAAACCAAAACAAAATCACACAATCTTCATGACTTGGACTATAACTTGCTCTCGCAGAAACATCTGGATCTAGTGAAGGCAGTGAGGGGGGAAAAGGTTTATAGATAAGGAGAGGCGGAGAGTGACAAGTGCTAGAAAGAGTGAAAGCATGTGCAGGGTAACAGGCTCAAACCTCTAATACAAGCTACAGTTCATATACATTCAAACAAAACACATTTCCTTTGTGATGGAATAATAACAACTTATTTATTTCATACATTATAGTTTGTCTGTGTTTTCATATGGTTGGCTACAACATGTTTTTTTTTGCATTTTGCTCCCTCTAGTGACCAAAACTAGTATTTTTTTTTTGATGTCTTTGTCTTTTATATACAGTACAGTACAAACCCTATTTTGTTTGTCTATTCCAGCAGAGTTTACCACACCGAGGGCCATCTTGACGGGCCATGACTGTGAAGTGACGTGTGCGAGTGTGTGTGCAGAGCTGGGTCTCGTCATCAGCGGCTGCAAAGGTGAGCCCGTCTGTCTGTCTTATTAATTATTATTATTATTATTAATAACATGTCCAAATTAGGGCTGCGACTAACAATTATTTTCATCATCCATTATTCTGCAGAATGTTGTCTGGATTTATTAATTAAACAAGGTTTTGTCTTCAAACGCCAAAACCAACATACGTTCATTTGAACATGATATTTAGAACAAGATAAAAGCAGGAAACTCCATATTTTAGAGCCTGAAATTACTTAAAAAAGGAATCCATTATCAAAGTTGCTGGCTATGATTTTCATGTAATTTACTTATCGATTAGTTAAGTAATATTAGCAGCTCTATTCCAAAATATATGTTCAAATTGAACAACAAAAGACACTGACTAATGTCAATGGTCTGCTTTTCTAACTTGTCTTTTTGTCTTGTGTTTGTTCAGAGGGTCCTTGTCTGATCCATTCCATGAATGGGGACCTGCTGCGGACCCTGGAGGGCCCCGAGCGCTGCCTGAGGCCTCGTCTCATCCAGTCCTCCACCGAGGGACACTGCATGATCTACTACGAGAAGGGGCAGTTTTGTAACTTCAGTGTCAACGGCAAACTGCTCAGACACATGGAGGTGGAAGACAGCATCAAGGTGGGAAACATAATACTGGCGTGAGCGTGCATATGAAAGTGCATTAGCACATGTGTGTCTGCACCACATCAGGGTGAAATGTCCTCTCACTGATTAAAGGCTTTCTTAGGGTTTCACATTTGAGGAAGGTAAGGGTCTGCACGCCTGGGGGCAAAGTGCAGCTTCACATCCCTTTTATTCCCTTTCACACGCACACAGCAGAGGAAATGGTCCTTTTGATCCGCAGCCCAGTTGTCAGGTCAGATTGCGTCGGCGTCGTTGGTAGAGAACATTCCAGAGGAGTGGTCAGCCCTGGACACCAACACCATTAACTACCCTGCAGCACAAGACGACACATTCCCCGTTTCCCACATTTCCTCCCTCGTGGTTAGAGTGACACAAGATAGCGGCTACTGCCTTTGGTTTCATGACCCTTTGTTTCCGGTTTGGCCTGGGAAATGTAAGCTAGCTCTGACAGACAGCCGCACGCCTGTTTCCCATTAGCAGACCTCTGGAGCTCCTAACCTGCCAGCCGGCCGCTGCTGCACAAAGCCACAAATATATAACTCGTACAAGTCGTGATTAACGAGCACACACAGACAAATGCTGATGGATTGTGTTAACATCACGGGGAAAGTTGCAAGTGTTCAGTTTGCAGGTTGCAGAATATTTTATTGTGTCTTTAAGAGAAACTAATGATGCTTTTAGATGCTTGTAGAGTTTCCCAGCGTTCCCTCTGAAGCGGTGAAGCTGGGACTTGGGAACAATGTGGACCGCTGCCCACTCTCTGCTGTTGTAAATTCCAGCCATGTCAGATGGCATTAGGAAAATCCTAACATCTCGGAGTGAGGCTGTGAGAGTCTCAACCCCCCTGGTCGGACGCTGTAGTATTTAGTGCGCTCATGTACATACCAGAATCAATCTCCTCCGCCCTCAGAGCCTCAGCTCGGTGTGACTCCAGGATAAATAAGTGTTTGTCCTGGCCTGCAGTATCCACTTAGAACAGGAGAGGAATACTGAGGAAGAGAGAGGGTGTTTGCACTGTAAATGTATTGGCATCTGGAGTCAGAGGTTAGATGACAGGCTAACAGTCGGCATCCTAGTCTAATAGCAGCATCGAGTGACACAAGCCATACTGAATGGATTACAGTCTTTTAAGTACTAGTATAACTCAGGCAGTGTAACCATTCCAGCAGTTTTTCCCCCTGCCTTGGTCTGTGTAACAGGGGGATTAACAGCACCATAAATTAAACTTTGTTACCTTCCCCAGCCCCAAAATCCACCCACTGTTCCCCGAAAGATGGAGGAAATATGGGCATTAAAAGTGCATGTGTTGCTGCTGCAGTCATTTTTTAGTCACCCGAGCCCGAGTGGCCATCTTGGCTCCCACAGAGCCATCGGCCATCTTGTTTGACCGCCCAGTGGCTGATTTATAGAGCCTGTCTGCAGCCTCCTACCTGGCCGGGCTGACATGTCTGCCAGCGCTCGGCCTCCTGCTGGGCTGCATAAGGTCATGGACTCCATTAGTACATACACAGGTACATTAATATAACACAGTCCCTGGCAAACAGCTCTTATCTTCCCACTTTCTTTTTACTGTGTAGTATGTCATCTGCTCAAGGAATGACTCGATGTGGCTGCTTATTAAAAACATATATCGGATTTAAAGCTGTGCGAGTGAATAGCTTCATATTAACAGAGGGTTAAATGACTGCAGGTAACGTTAGAGGGGCTTCTGGGACAGCGGCTCGGCTCTACAGAGCGGTTTAATGTCTTTCTGCGTATTGTTTTGATTTAATTGCACACATCTCTACCGTTTTGATCCACTCTCAGCTTTTACCCATCGCTTTTTCAAGCCACATCAGGCAATTGTTTTACTTTTCCTTGAATCAAACAGCAGACATAGTGAGCAGCTAGTGAAACAGTGAAGCATTTAGCAGCTAAAGAAGCAGTGATTTCCCCCAGGAGATGGTTAAGAGCAAAGAAGAGCCAACCTTTACATACATATTGGATTTACACTCATCAGGTGGACGTTAGAACTTCTCCACATGAAAACAAATGTTATGTGTGCTGGTTGTGTTAGCCGAGTGCTTTGTTAGCATGTTTACCATGTTCAGTTGATAATATATCAGTTTTGTGATTGTATCTTCGTCTGCTGCCCCCAAGTGGCCTAAAATGGAATTACTGCTTTACGTAAAAAAAAAAATGTTTTATGGCAGGTATAATGGATCATATTATTCTTAAGTACTAATTTGCTCTGTACTCCAATTTAACTGCATTGATCATACCAGGCTGAGTTGAGCATCATCTTTATTGTTGTTGTCAGATTAACTCTGAATGTTGATACACAAGACAATTACAGTACACACAAAACAGACCCACACCACACCAATCAGAGCAGCGCTGCACTCTGTCATGCTCCATTCCCAGCCGTCCTGGAGGATGATCTAACACAGCGATTAGGAAGGATTGATTCTCCAGGCCTCCCGCCAGAGAGCAGCATGCAACGCATCGGTGTGTGTCTTGTTTTGTGTTTCCCTGTGTGTGTGTGAGTGCAAGTGTTGTGCCCATCTTAAGTGCGTGCGTAATGAGAATGAGAAACAGAGCTCATTTAATTCCCAGTGTGGTAGGAAATTCCACAAAGACTTTCTATACAAAACATTTAGGCTGCACTGTTTCTACGTCCGTCCACTGTGTATCGCTCTTGAAGGGTTATTTATCTTTTCTTTACCAAGTCAAGTTCCTGAAAATGACTTCAGTTTAAGTTTCATTGTCCCATTTAATGTGAGCCTGATTCAACACACATGCTGCTGGTGATTGAAGTGTCTCCTGCTGAATCACTGCAAAGCGGCCACAACCAAACTCTGTGTCGTAAAAACCCACAAAGGAGAAAAACTCTGAATTAGTGTCATTTGCTGCTTTCAGAACTCACATTCTGCCTCGTCATTTCATCGGCTAGGTTTCTCTCTGATTGATGCTCCTGACTCCTTCAGTTTGAGCCTCCACTATGCACTGCGCTCTTAATAGACTCCAACACGAGGCTTGATTTGTGTACGCCAGATCCCCCGGGGAACCATTCAGCTGTTACAGTTTGCAGGAAAAGCAGATGAGACGAGTAAATCTCCGAGCCTCACTGTGGGGAGCCATCTTTGTTGCCAGTCAGGGTCTGCGTACAGAAAGCCCCTCAGGAGGGCGGCGCTGACCTGGGATCTTTTGTGGGATCACATGACCTCGCTGTATGAGCTTTACTCTGACATAAAGAGACAAACTGGTCCCAGACCTCCAGTCCTATTCTGAGACTATTTATGCATGTGGTTCTACAGTGAAGAGCTTTGCTGTGAGGGCTTTATTGTAAGCGTTTAAGGACAGATGATCAAAGGCAGGATATGAACTCTTCTCACACTGTACTGCATGCATTGGAACACTACATTACATCTGACATAAGCTGTAATGTTTGGAATGTCCCAACACCAGAACATGCAACTCTCAGCTCATTAAAAAGTGAATAATAAGCATATCCTCTGTCCCTCTTTGCCAGGCCATGTACCTCAGTCGGGACGGCCAGTACCTGCTGACGGGCGGAGACGGAGGCGTGGTCTCCGTCTGGCAGGTCCACAACTTCAAACAGCTGTTCACGTACCCAGGCTGCGACGCAGGAATCCGCTCTATGACCATGTCCCATGACCAAAGGTAACACGCACGCACACGCACGCACACGCACGCACACGCACGCACGCACGCACGCACGCACGCACGCACGCACGCACGCACGCACGCACGCACGCACGCACGCACGCACAGAATATAAAGCCTGGCCAACAGGAGATTTTTAAGGCCAATACAAACTCAATATTTAAGACTACAAAAAACTGGATGCATAATAATTCGATTTAGATCCCTTAAATGTGTTATTTTAAAGATTGTTATAGTAAGTAAAATGTGCTGTAGATGTAGTAGTGGAAAAAGTTGTAAAATTAACCATCTAAAAATATATTTGTCATTCCTCCCTTGTGAACAAACTGTTTTCTTGTCACAGTTTTTTTTTCAGAATAACCCTTACCCTAATTTCTAAATACTTATCATCCGATGTATACTCTGGTACTCAAATGTTTACTCTTAGATAATATTACCTGGCTCTAATAAAAGGAAACCTTCCCACAGCACTTTTTTGAAAAAGCAACATATCTCTTCTAAGCTAAAACGTATCCACTCCAAGTCAAATCGTAATAAAACTCCAGCATTCAAAATATTGATAAAATCAGCGTCAAAAGCATTTAAGTGAAATTTACTTGTATTTATTGAGGACTGACATTATTAATTTATTAGTCCATTAACAGAAGTTTAATCATCGAAAATGTTAGTTACTGATTCCTATTGTACAACGTTTCACCACCACTCCCTACACACCACAAACGTTTACATGTGGCTCATGATTTAGCATTATGATGCCTTAAATTATCTTCAAATGAAAAAAACTCACTTTGAAACAAATAAACCTCCTGATGTCCCCTCCTCTCCTCTCCTCCTGATGTCCCCTCCTCTCCTCCTGATGTCCCCTCCTCTCCTCCTGATGTCCCCTCCTCTCTTCCTGATGTCCCCTCCTGACTGCTCTCAGGTGCATCATCACCGGCATGTCCTCTGGAAGCATCGTGCTCTTCTACAACGACTTCAACAGATGGCACCACGAGTACCAGACCCGCTACTGAGAGTGAACTTCTCAAAGGCGCTACTCTGTCTGTACCCTGAATGTATCTTAATGAAAGAAGAAAATAAAAACTGTCCTGTTAAAGTAAAAAAATCAAAACTATTTTTAAAAAGGGCATTGCTATATTTTGTAGATCAGATAGAAACTTTCGTATAATTCACAGGGTGGGGGTTATGTTACTGTACGGTTAAAACAAATCTATTTTTAGCTGTAAGAGTCTATTTTCATCTCCTCCGGAAAACTAAGGCGGGATTTGTTGGGAGCTAGTGAGAACCTTTTCTCTTTACTTAAAAAAATCCAAATATTTGTGTACTTTAGGGTGAGTGATTATCTTTCTTTCTGTAGGTGTGTATGTGGGGAATAATTATGAAGCTGTCATTCACGTTTTAACTTCTTTTTTGGCAAAACTGCCGTTAGATATGAAGTGTTTGAATAAATAATAAATGTATTGGATAGAAGGATAAACAAAGAGGGAATATACATACATATATATAAATATCTATATATTCTGTTTAAATGTATGTCCTCCATATTTAAAATGTCCATTTCCTCTGTACCTCTGTGCTTGCTAAGAGATTGTGCATGGCTCACTACACACTTAAAACATATCAGATGAATCACTTAATTTAATACTGTCTAAACTTCCCATCCAGTGATGTCAGAAGGATGTCAGGAAACCATGTCCAGGATTTGATTTTTCTTTCTACAATGACTGAATAAGCAAAAAGTGAATCTTTTTTTCTCAAATGGGAATCTTGATCATTGTTTGTGAAAGCCTGAGTAACGAGAGATCACTAAAATCATCTCATATCATCTTTAAAAGTCTTCTTTGAGTCATGTCTCCAAAGCAGCTGACAGCAGAGTGAGACGTTCAATGACAGGAAGGACTTTTCTCTATTTCATCACAGGATGAGTGATTATGTTAAGATGTGATTCAGCACTAAAATGGCATATTCCTTTGGTCTTCACTAAATGAAACGTCCACTTGTATCCTTTAGATTTCGGGGGAACATTCCTTTAAAGTTTGCGCTTTGATGTGGTTTGAAACTACAGTTAAATGAGAACTACTGTTATCTATCAACCAACATTATTTTTGCAATAATTTGAGTGTTTTGTGTGCCGAGTTCTGACAATAAAATGGAATTTTATAACTTGAATCGTCCTTTGAATGAGTGTATTTCTCGCATTGAAGACTGCATAGCACCCTCTAGTGGCCACCTTCTGGACACACACACATATTCACAAACAAACATTAATTTGAAGTCTTTATTGCATTGTTTACCTTTCTTCTGTTTCAAAACAGTGGGACATTAAAAGCAGCCACTCTTTGCCTAATAAAAACCATTTCTGCAGTTTGACACAGATGATAAACCTCTTTTTAAAACTGTCTTTTCATACAAATGTTTCCCTTTACAAACGGCATATGAAAATCCTTTACCTACATATACATAAGAGGAAGCTAAATGTACCAACTTGACTTTGTGTGTGTGAGGGTTTCTGTCTTAAAGGGAGGCAGGAAGTGTATGCATGCAGCTGGGAGTCCTGAAGAGATAAAGGAGTTAGCCCTACTAGCGCAGTTTAACACGGGTACACGACAAAAACACTTAACTTAAACCCCATCGTTCAGCTGGGCTGGTTTTGATGAAGGCATCATTGAGTCATGAGCTGTTAGCAAGTGGTCAGGCACAACCGTCACCTTGACAACACATTCATTCACATGAATCCAACAAATCTAAACCGCTGTGCGAGTATTTGGAAAAACAGGGTCGACTTATTTTAATACACAGTGCAGCGCTGTCTGTTAGTTATATCAACTGCTCTATAAACATCTTCTCTCAGTGTTTAAGTTGCAGCAGAAAGCATTCTAGTTTTGAAAATCCCAGTTCATTCAAACAAAAATATTATATATGGTTTTATGTCTAATGGATCTATTTGTATGTACAGCTGTTTTTTTAAATCAAATTGATGGCCATTAAATGCTCAGACACACGTCGGCAATACACACCCTTCAAGTTTCAGGTGGACAAATAAAGTTCTTCACAATATGTACAACTACAGTGTTCTTATGAAATAATACAAACAGTACGTTGATGCATGTCAGCATGAGTTAGAGTTGATGCACACATTACTTTTCCAAATTGACTTTTGTAAAACAAAGCAAGACATACGTACTTTATACGAGTTATTTTCAGCGTTATCTGGACATGAGTTTGTTTTTTAGATATGTTTCTCTGAAAAATAAGTACAGCTCTGACTCTAATGCATTGGAGGTGGAGAGTTTTATTTGTATCAGTATTATTGAAAATGACATTTCCATGTTGTGTCCTGGTATCTCACTACAAATAATTGTAATCTGTGTTATTAAAAATAATCTTGCAGGCCCCACAAACACAAATCCTCCATTGTATTGTGGTGGTGACATAAACCTCATATTTTATGATATCTGGAGGGGTCACAAGATAAACCTGAGGGGTTTGGAGATGATTAGCAGGATTGGAAAGCAACAAAATCTGAATGTTTTATCCTGTTATTTACCCTTTGCAAGATGAATCATTTTTAGGCCTTGAAATGTATTCGAATAGAAATAATTTGAATCTTTGGTAGGAGTGGCCCAAAAGCAGAGAACTCATAACAAGGGCTCACAAGTATATGTTTAGGTGTTTCAAGCCAAAAAGGTGAGGAACCTCTGTGGACAGACACATTTACTACTGTAACTCCTTTGTATTCATTTGGTAGGTAATAACTACATGTTGTCAACCTACTGTAATGTACTGTAACACTTTATAGGAAAAGCTGTGGTTACCATATGGGGGGGGGCTGTCACAAACTGATAGTGGTTACATCCGGGTTGCACTACAGGACGCTAGGCTAGTACGGTCAGACATTTGATATTCTGATATACTTTAATGTAGTATTACTCTACTGTCTCTTGCTAAAGCAGTTGTGTGGTGGTCATGGAAAGCTATTCACAAAAGAGCCACAGGCAAGTCAAAATGGGATAACGATAAATAAACAAAATAATTCACATTAAGTTACACAGTAATGCATGACTTCTAAACACAAACCACTCCGTTTCATTCCCTTTCTCCTCATCCTCCATTAATAAATACAAACATATATACAAACACACTCTGAGAGAACATGTGTCTCTGAACATGAGTTGGATAAGAGGGACAGAGAGAGGGACAGAGAGAGGGACAGAGAGAGGGACAGCAGTCACTGGCTCAGTTTACAGCTACTGGAAATACTCCATGTTTACGGACACGTGAAAATAAAAGGAGCGAGGGGTCACATTGGAGTTACCGTTTAAATCTCTATCAGCTCCTCAGCAGGTACAGGGCTCAGAGAGGGAGGGTCAGCGGGGGGGGAGGCTGATCTGGGAGGTGTGGAGGGAGGAGAGGGAAACAGGGTGGGATGCATGGGAGACGGGGAGGAAGGCTCCTGTCTGGTTGGGGAGGAGAAAGGGAATAAAATGACCTGTTTGATGGGGGAGGCTGGGGAGGGGGAGGATTGTTTAGTGGGAGAGGAAGAGAGGGATGTTGCCTCTTTGGTAGGAGATGAGGAAGAGACTCGTTTGGTGGGAGATGAGGGAGAAAGAGAGGAGGGTTTTGTGGGAGAGGAAGAGGGAGAAGCCAGTTTGGTGGGAGATGAGGGAGAAAGAGAGGCAGGCTTAGCGGGAGAAGAGGGAGGAATAAGGGCTTGTTTCGTGGGAGAAAGGGAGGCTGGTTTAGCGGGAGAAGAGGGAGAAGTAGAAGCCTGTTTGTAGGGAGAAGAGAGGGGAAGGGAGGATGGACTGTTGGGTGATGATGGGGAAGGGCAGGAGACGGGTGAGGAGGGAGAGTTGCAGGTGAACAGATCAGGTGGGCCAGAGGGGGAGGGAGCTTGGAGAGAGAAGCCGGGGGCGGCAGATGTGCTTATCTCAGGATCAGAGGAAACAGGGAGAGTTTCTTCAGAGGGAGAACAGGAGATATGATTGGACCTCACAGGAGCAGAAGGAGGGACATAATCTCCGTCAGTCAGGGACAGACAGCAGGGGGGGGCAGAGGGGGAGGTAGCATCAGGCACAGCAGCGGTGTTCGGTGCTTTGACTCGAGCAGGCGTGGAGGGTTTAGTTTTTTTGGCAGGGGATGCCTGTTTGGTGGGAGACGCTGGTTTGACTGCAGGAGGGACGGTGTCTCCAGCCGCCGAGGGAGGACACGAGAGAGTCTGAGGCCGAGGGCGGCGGGAGGCGAGCTGCAGGGTCTCCTTATCCAGAGCCGTGCTCTGAGGAGACAGACAGAGGATTATCAGATGATACTTACGCAGCATTAAACCCAGCAGCAGGAAGCTCTAACAACACCAATCATATCACAGAGAGATATTGTGGATCAAGCTGTACTGTATTCAGGAAATGTAGTAATTTAGCCTGCCTTTAATCGTCCTTTTGTGATTTCCTGATGTGGGAATAATACTCTAGCTGTACAGTTGTACCTTTTCATATTTGATATGTATATATTTTCTTATTCTTCAATATATGTGCATCACTATATCTCAATTTGATTGCACAAGTCTGTTCAGGTCTTACAGTATGTTGCATCCCTGGAACTTAAGATTTGTTTTGCCAAAACTCAACTGTAGCTATTTTTCAAATGACATTTAAGCTTTTTTTTAAATGGAATTCAATCAACTCAATGTTTAATTCCTACAATCATGAACTGCTGTCTTGTATTTGCTTATGATTGATATGAATGAACAACACACACACAATGAGACAAGCTAATGGAAATGGACAAAAATAACTGAAAGATGATTAAACAAAAAGTCATTATGATATCCGCACAGTAGACTGACCCCATAGGGAGGAGCACCAGATCATCACCACTAATCTATGTGCAGAGGAAGGGCAAATGAGAAACTCAACTTTCACTTTTGAATTCAACAGATAAATACTTTTGTGTTTTTGTATCGGATATAGCCAATGATGTCTTCACAAATGGGAGAGAAAAGTAGAAAATGTATTTTTCTCATTTGCCCTTGTGCTGCTGAGTCTGAGCAGCACAGCAGGCGTAGCGTTCAGTGTTAGTACATACCGGTGCCTTGGAGCTAATTCTGAGGGGCGTAATGCAGGGAGAGGGGAGAAGCAAAAAGGGACAGAGACTAGTCTTACTCACAGCTTCACAAAACAAAGTCAACACAACAAGCAAGGCGGCCCCGGTGCACAGCTGTTGTTCCAGCTCAGTGCTGATGTGGTAACTCAGATCATTGAATCATAATTTAGTTTGGCCGGTTGCTTTTGAGAAGACTGAGCTGGAACAAACTGTGAGACTTTCTGTAAATCAGGCTGAGACACGTGTCTGTTAGTGCAAAGCTATACCACTCATTAGAAAGCAGCGTTAAGGGTCCATTTACATGTGTTTGAATAGTTTAGTTTGAAAAGATAAGACTGGCATTATTCTATTTTGATTGTCAACAGAAGACGAAAAGCAATGAGGATTTGTTTTTGCATTTATGCCCAAAATAGCTTATTCCACTATAAAAAAAGAGCTCCAAAAATGTATAAAAAACATTCACGAGTCACTGTTGTACTGTATGTTCGGTAAACATGAGCACTAAAGGTTATTTTGTCTCAATCCTATATACACCAACTGGCTGCTGTGAATACTCGCTATAGCACCAAATATATAAGAGTCCCTAACAAATGCCTAAATTATTTGCTTCTGTTTTGGTCAAATATGCTTAAAACTTGCTCAGCTATTTGAAGATCATTGAATCTTTTAAAAAAAGGTGAAACTTTATATGTATGGCCCACTTTCAGAGTTTCATGTCTTCCATAGAAACCTATTGACTTGTAGCTGAGATGAACAGAAGGTAGATGGACTAACATTTGGTCGTTTAATAGGATTTGTTGACAAGTAAAATATAGAATAATGTCAGCCTTGTCCTTTAAAAAAGCAGGGGAATCTTGTTTCTGAGGCAATAACGCCACATTGGTTTGCATCCATCTCTGCCAAATACACCACAGACCAGAACTAGCACAGTTCTTAATTCCCTCCACAAGGTGGCGGCAGAGCATCACTAATATGAAACTCTGCTGAGCAACCAGTTAAAGCTTTGTGGACCCACAGGAAGTAGGTTTATAAAAGTCTATTTTAAATTAGATGACAAGCAAACGATGAATGGCAGAGAGTGAGGCAAATACAAGCAGCTCTTGTGTTAGCTGTGTAAACATGCTCATTGTCCTTCTCAAAGACAATGTGATTAAATAAACACATCCTTCAAAACACAAATGATTATTTTCGCCACAAAAGTTTTGTGATCGATACAAATGGAATGAAATGAAAACGAAGGAGCAGAAAAAGTGTGAAAACAGTCAGGAGGGGTAAATCCAGGACAGAGCGAGAGTTAGTCAGATCCACATCAGCTGGTTATTGAGAGCGGTTACTGCAGCTGGTGGGGGGGGGGGGGGATGGGGGGGGAGGCTGAGAAAGAGACAGGAAGGAAGGGAAATGGAGGGAGGGGGGAGATTTATAGATGAAGGGAAGTGGGTGAAGGGAAGGGCGATGCTGGAAAGGAAGGAGGGAGCAGGAGGAGGAGGAGGAGGAGGAGGGGGGGGGGGGTATGAAGTGTGTACCCGGCTCTCAGCTCCAGGCGTCCCCTTTGGTCCTGGGTCGGGTGTGAGGGAGGGTGTGAGGAGGAGGGAGGAGGAAGAGGATGGAGAGGAGGAGGAGGAGGAGGGGCCGAGGCCAGGGCCCGCGTTTACATCTCAAACTGTCAAATGAGATTTACAACAAGATGTGAGGGTCAGATCAGATCTCTAATGAGACGTTTTACCCTTCCCCCATTTCCTGCTTTCAGACAGACAGACAGAAGAGAGGGCTGATGGGATGAGGAGAGGAGGAAACCGTACAACAGGAAGTGATGAACGTGAGGCTGGAGACGAACAGGAAGGAAGGATGTGACTCTTCTGCCCTGTCCAAGTTTTCACATCTCTCCCTCTCTAAAGCCCTGTCTGACATGTTTACAGCGGCATGAGTTGTCTTTGATGTTGGACGATGATTGAGGTCAGATATTCTTGGCCCGCTGATTAAGTAGGCGCAGGATTCATATAAAGTGAGCTCAATCTTCTGGATGTGGGTCAGACATTCACCACAGTGCAGTAAATGCTTGGAGGTGGGCCAGACATGTTTCAAACACTTCGTCTAATACTGCAGATGAAAGAGGTCACTACAAGTTAACAATCTCATGAATGTCACTCTGTGAAAAGGAATGAATCTAAAAAGTGTGTCAAAAGATAATAATCCCATCACTTTGAATGTGTCCAGGTGCTTACCATGATGACGGTCACCCCGGCCGAGGTGTGGTTTTGATTGGGCGCAGAGTTAAAGTGCGTCTTCAGTTTACCTGTCACCTCCATCTTCATGTTGTTCTCCATCACTGCCTCGTCCTTCATACACACACACAAACATGCATCGAGGTTAAGCGGTACCATGGTGTTCCACTCATCTTACATTACAGATGCTGAAGGTGTGTGTGAGCAGGCAAACACAGAGACGAGCAGGTGAAATACCGTGAGCCAAGGGTGGGAGAGGATGTCCTGCGCTGAGTACCGAGCCTCAGCGTTCACCTGCAGCATCTTCCCAATCAGCTCCTGCAGCCAAAACACAACACAGGTTAGCACATCAACTCAAACGTACTTTCATAATGTCATGAAGAAAAGTCTAGTATGTCATGAACGTCATTTAGAAAAGTCTGAGAGTATTACATAAAATATTCAGAAAAAGTCTAAGCATAGTATTTAGAAAAAAGTCATAGTGTACTAATATGTGAAGTCAAAAGTTCATCAATATTTGTACAGTCTTTTAGTATAGTAAGACATAAAACATAAATACATGTCTTGGTATAGTATGTCACTGCTCCATCACTGTGTGTGTGTGTGTGTGTGTGTGTGTGTGTGTGTGTGTGTGTGTGTGTGTGTGTGTGTGTGTGTGTGTGTGTGTGTGTGTGTGTGTGTGTGTGTGTGTGTGTGTGTGTGTGTGTGTGTATGTGCATGTGTGTGCGTGTGCGTGTGTGTGCACCTGTCTGCAGTGACAAGTCTCTGTAACGGCACGTGTATCAGCCGTGGGTTTAATTAGCAGTTAGCTTTTGCCTGCTGAGAGGGCTGTCACTTTAATACATGACATTCATTTAGAGGGTTTCTGAGTCATTAACCCCTTACCAATCAGCACAGCAGTATATTCCACAGAGAAGTGTCATAATTCATTGTGTTTTGGTTAGGCATCAACATGTATCATAGCCATTTTCTAACACTGTGTGTGTGTGGTTTTGTGTACAGTATGTGTGTCTGTGTGTGTAGGGCTAACCTTGGCTGAGTCAGTGATGTTGTCCCAGTAAGGGCTGGGGAACTCCAGTCGCCCCAGAAGGATCTGGTCAAACAGATCCTCCTGCATGTTGTTCTCACTGCATGAGAAAGACACACAAAAACACAGACATTAATAATAACATTACTCAGAACACATGGCATTGTGAAAAAACAGCACTGTACTACACAAATAATAATAGATATCCACACCTACGCTTTAATATGTTAAAGTGGACCTATCATGCTATATTTGAATAATATAGTGTAGGACCATACCTATATAAGGCATATTTATACCTTTTCTTTTTTCAAAATACCAAACAGATCATGCATTTTAGCCATGCCTCATTTTGCTCAATTTGACCATTTCTAGCTCTGTTTTAGCAAGGGCAGATTCAGTGAGAACAGCACCATCTACTGGCCTGGCATATGTACTACAGCGTCTCCAGCGCTTTCGAACGGCAATGGCCGTGGCTGTCTCCTCCTGATTGGTGGAGTTGGCCCAATAGCCGTAGCGCCACCGTCCTGACGTCAGGACAGTGTTCAAATCTGGATCAGTTTTTATCAGATCCGTTGCAGCCCCTTTTTTAGAGATTTGGGTATGGAGGAAAATAGAGAGGGTTGTGTTTTCTGACACTTGGTGAGTTCCCTGGAACACCGGGGACACATGTTCATGTATAAAAGACGTACACAAGTGCATTTTGCATGATAGGTCCCCTTTAAATAAAATGCACATAATTAAAATAAGCTATTATATCTCATCATGATATGAGTTTAAGTACCTTCTAAATGGAGGGAAGCCACACAGGAGGATGTAGGTGATGACACCTGCAGCCCAGATATCCACCTTCAGACCATAACTGCGTGAAGAGAGGAGCGACAGGAAAGGCAAACCATATTTATCATCCCAGTGGAGGAGAGATGCAGTAGATCGCTGATTGTACATGAAACAACTTTTTTTTAAAATCAACCTTTTGACAGTTGGCAAACACAAAGTTGTCAATGTACTGCAATGTTATGGAAGTACTTATACCATAACAACCTGATATGCACAATATACCAATCTCCCTCTAATCCTCTGTGGATAATTACAACACAACTGAACCCTATACCTGATTTGGTGTAAATGGAAACATCTGTTCCATGTACTTGTATTAGACGAGTACAAACATACATGTCACTCTTTAACAAGCACCATCCCTGGTGAAATCTACATATCTACAGTACGTACTGAAAGCCCCTCACAGCATTCTCCTCCCAAAAATGTATCTTACCCTGACTGCGAGATGATTTCTGGAGCCACATATGTAGGCGTTCCACACACAGTGTATAAAGGTCCTTCCACCACCGTGGCCAGGCCAAAGTCCCCCAGTTTCAGTGACTTGGTGCCATCTGGATACTCAAACACCTACAAAGAAAACCATACTCAGCTGAAATCCACAAAACAGCTGGATTCGTATGTAAGAAACTAACGTGAGTGTGAAAGTATACCAGCAGGTTCTCTGGTTTGATGTCTCTGTGGACGATGCTGGAGCTGTGCAGGTACTTCAGAGCTGCAGCCAGGTTGTACACCATCACCCTGGCGTCTCTCTCTGTGTACTTGGCCGAGGACGTGATGGCATCAAATAAATCTCCGCCCTGTGCCAACATTACCAGAGATTAAAGATGATACCCAGCTGAGAAATGATGATTGCATTGACATTGCATCCTCTACTGCACCTTCACTAGCTCCATCACCAGGTAGAGTTCAGAGGGAGTGTCCACTTCCTCGATCAACATGATGACGTTGGGGTGCTTCACCCTCCGCAGCACTGCCACCTCATTCTCTATGAGGTGCTCCTGGAAACACACCAAGACAAACATTTCCACTTACTTTATGCTCCAGTGAACAGGACTTACCCTGAGCCAGTGTCTGCTAATGAAAAGAGGCTGCATTGTTGACTGAATCGGTATCCATGTCAAGGGTGTGATTCAGTGTGTGTGATTCAGTGTGTGTCATTGTGGGTGAAAGTGTGAAGATAATTTGAGTTGGGTGATGAATAAAACATTACCAGCCTAATTTAAATGTGTGGGCTAAGAGGATCAGAGACACACAGGCCACACTGCGGTGTGTGTGTGTGTGTGTGTGTGTGTGTGGGTGTTAATAATGCAAAGTGAAACCCACATGAACCTTACAAGTGCATCTACGGGTCTGAAAGAAATACACACTTAAGACGAGAAATGTGAGAAATAAAAGAGCAAGACCTTTCCAGTGCACTTGGCCTTGTCGATGATCTTCAATGCAAACTCTTTTCCGGTGGACCTGAACAGAAACAGTGCAATTAGTGGCAACAATAAAAAACAGCACTAAAGCTGCAACAATATCTATAATTCAAATCAAGTGTTCACAGGAGAGCTTCAGTTAGTTAGCAGGAGCAGCGCTGCAGTTATTGGAAAGGTATGATAGCTGCACGAGCCAAGTTTATACAATGAGCAGAGAAACAGTGCAGATACAGGCAGGCCAACAACATTTACTGACAGAGTAACTGAACACCAGCAGGAGGAACAGGGTTTCACTTCTCAGGTCAAAGGTTTCCGGTTTGTCTCTGCTACCATCAGAGATACTGGGTGAGGTCAGTTAGCTCTGTTACACCACTAACCAAACAGTGAGCTCATGGTGGACTGTAACCCTCTGAGTATATTTCTACACCACTGCAGCAAGATGAGAAGTTCATCCACTGGAGGTTTAAAGTTACACTTTAATCAATCCAAGGATGTTAACAAATAACATTTGTATCTGCCTTTTGATACGGAGCCTCCACACAAATGTAACATTCAATAGTTTGATTTAAAATTCTTTCAGAAGTTGTTACTGTTATCCCAACAAACACACAAACAAACAGTCAACCAGACGATACACAAAACAAACATCGACCACCTTGGCTTCGACTCTGAGGTACCCTTTAGAGTTATTGACAACTAGTGTTGCCATGGAGAAATCTTTTTACGAGCGAATCTGTGTTCTTTTTGTATCTCCTGCTTTCTAAAACACAGATGATTAGGCATGTATCTATAGACAAGCTTATCATTTACACAATACTCCAATAATCCTTCACTGATAACACTTTTTAGTAGTGCACCGACAGAGAAGAGGACATGTGGATTGACTTAATAAATATAAGAAATAGAGCTTAAAGAATCTGAGCGTATATGGATGTTCATTCACCTGTTGAAACAGTTTAGCTCTCAAACACATCATAGAGATGTATACACGACCATGTGACGGAACACTCAGAGAGCTAGTATGGTAGACCTACAGAATATTTTTGCTATAATATTGGCTTTGTAAAAAATGTTCTGAATAAGGATATTCAACTCAAAGCATTCCTTAGGCCTCAATGAGACACACAATGTATTTTTGTAAACTGCAAACTGGATTAAAATGAACCCTTCAGGGAGCCTCTCAGGTTCATCAGATTATTATTATCACACACTTCAGACGCCTTCTCCTCATCCTCTCCCCTGTCTGCTGGGTGTGACTCAGAGATTTAAATGCTAATCACCGCTGGGTTCAATCTGTGGGATGTTTCTGATTTCACAATGCCTGTCATTAGGATGTTAAACCCCTGATGGAGCAGTACCCACACATCTCGTCTCATTAAGCTGCACGACACGGGGCCCTGCGGTGCGATCATGCAGACTGAGTGTGAGTAAATGTGTTGCACCTACCTCTCCACACACTCTTTGACCACAGCGAAGTTCCCATCTCCGATGACCTTCCCAATCTTGTATTTCTCAGATATGGCAGAGGCAGGCGGGTAGCCGTTCCCATTAACTGCTGAGGACAGGCAGGGATTACAACAGGCAAGAGGCTTTCTTATTTAATAAAACTAACAGAGCTCTGCAGGAACTCAACCAGCTCTCAGACTGAATTAGGTGACTACACACTGCAGCAAAACAACACACACGCATCAACATGCACACAGAAATCTCAAAAAGTCCGCCATTTGCATTTAGTGAAGAGAGCAGCAACATTATGTATTCACCGTACACACACACAACCCTACAATATTTGAGATAAGTATCTGCTAACACAGCCCCGTTATCCTCCACACAAGGCCTGGATTTGGTCTCTTTGTTGGGTAAGCTAATTGTAAAATATGAGGATCATTTTGTTTTGACAGTCACGGCCCGTCCACACAGCGGCGTGCGTTGAAGCTTGCTCCATTTTTTTGGAATATGAGGAAATGACCTGCGGTGTGTCTCTCCCAGCATACACGCGGTTTGATTGGCTAGCGCTTGTACTGGCAGATTTGCATAAACGGGATTTGATTGGCTGACGCTTCCACCGAAGCTTCAGAAGCTTCAAAAGTTGAACATTTCTCAACTTTTGCAGCGAGCCACGCCAGCAAAGAGACGTCACCCCATTCACGTGAATGGTGAAGCTTTCAACGCACGCCGCTGTGTGGACGGGCCGTCATTTCTACAAGCTAGAGGGAGAAGAGGTCCATGCAAAAGTGTCTCAGTCGGCAGATCAGGTGAGTGACTCAAAGAGAAGAGGAGAGGACGGGGGAGGAGAGGAAGAAGAGAGAGAAGAGAAGAGAAGAGAATGATGGAGTAGACGAGACAAGAAAAGAGAGAAGAGAAGAGGAGTGAAGATAAGAAGAGAGGAGAGGAGGTGAGGAGAGAAGGAGGAGAGGAGAGAAGGAGGAGAGTACGTACCCTCTGGACTGAGTGGATTGTTTTGCTCCTGGTGGTTGTTCAGAGAGCCATTTGCATTTGCACACGGGGTGTGATGTGTTGGAGGGATCTGCAGGATGCCAAAAGAAACACAAATAGAGTCCTCAAACTAACCCACACACAAACATCACTATGGCAACCTAAGGCTTTAAAAGCATCCAGAAAACTCGCTGTACAGGGAAAAACATCTTGTGTTATCGTTGAGTCACTTTTGCGTGGCTTTGAATGATGGCATGAATAGGAGACTAAAAACATAAATTAAACCCAAGATATGTAATTAAAGCTACACAATGGTTATGCGTTTGTCTTTACATATATGTTAAATGTTCATTTGTATTCTTTACTAATAAAACAACCTGAACATGCTGCTCACAAACATGACACATTTCTAAACAATAACACATTTACATAAGTGCTAAAGTAAACGTATTATATAGATTGTGAATGAGGGCTATATTTAGTTTGCCCTTCAAAGTGTACAAGGTGCCGCAGATATTGGAACAGATTATCCTCCTCCATTATCCACTTCTCATCACTGCACATTAAACCGATATGGCTCCCAATGAATGATTCATTTCTTAAGAGCGTCATTTCTGCAGCAGTGGCATTTCAGCATCTTATGGAATTGTACAGTATACTTTTTATAAATGTCAGCCATAAATGCAGCATTAAAAAAAGACCAGTTATACTTTACATGATGTACAGTAGTGTCCAGTCCCTTACTGCACCATGATGCCTTTCCCTCACAGTAAGGATATAGTATATTTAGTTTGAAAGAGTAACCCTCTGGACTAAAGTAGAAATGGAACACTGTGAATGTCTCTTTTAAAACAGGATACATAAAAAAGCTAACTTCTTCTGGTGGCTTTAGTTTACCTGACAACTTGCAGAGTGAGCAGCTCTGTCATTGACATCCTGGTGCTCTCTGCCAGTGAATCTAAAAGCTGTCAGTAAATCGTATAAATCTCGTATCCAGCCAAATAAGGATAAGTCTCTGACTGTATAGGAGGTTTGCCAGATGGCTGCAGCAGTTAGAAACTAGTTTGGGACTAACATACAGCTTACTGAGTTATTCATCAATAAATCAGATTAGTATGTCTGCAGCACGGGCCACAGATCTGTAGGTCATACAGTACATGGCTGTTAGTCTCTACATATAGACCTAAAATCACTTTGTGCTATGTTTAGAATTCCGCATTATCCCCCACCTTAAAGTGCGGCCTTTATTTATGCGTCTTGTACAAGCATTTAATTCACAATAAGATTTACGACACTAACTAGATTTACTGAGTCAGTAGTCCAGCACTTTACCAAGTGAGTTATTACAGCTACTGTATGTCTGGTAAAGGTTTGACACTTTTACGAGAACAGATGCTGGCTTAAGACCAACCATAACAACTTTAAAGTAACCTGCGTAGGGTTTTGACTATTGGTAGTACTGTATGATTGGTGGTGTGAGGAGTTGGTCCCATTTTGTTTATATATCTTGAAATTGTGCACAAGCACAGCAGTGATACGATATGGTGATAGATTTCCGTGTCTATCTTTGCTCCCTTATGTTTCTGTCATGTGTATGAGAAGTTATGTAATATGAATATACTGTATACCGACAGTATATGCTTTAAACATATAGTGCACTGTATAGATAATGTGTTGTAATGCATCTTATTGTTGTTGGTGTCTGTGTATGATCCTTGCTGGAACAGACGGATGTAATATACCGTCTTACCTTGAAAGTGGGGGTGGTTCGGGGGCTGGTGGGGGACGGAGTGGAGGACTTGGTGGACTTCGGAGTTGAGATCTGGCTGATGGAGATACCGTTCACTATGTGGAGAAAAAACAGGAAGGACAAATACAAGAGCAGGGAAAGAGTGAATATGAATGTGAGTACAAGTGTCATTTTCACATGATTTATACAGTGTGCACACATGTGGATAAAAAGGTGACTTTCATTTGGTTACCAGGTAGTTATTCTATCTAATCTATTACTACCATTGCTTGTAGATGTGCACAAACATCTACAGATTTATTATCTATTATATTTTATGGCATAATATACTATAACTTTTCATGACAATTGTTCCACTCCACTTTTAAATTACACAAAGTAATAAAGTGGATGCCTCAAATGATTTGGTTATGTTTGTGTAAATATCCACAAATCAAAAGGACTTCCTGTGTACTAATATTTAACAGATATCTATAATATACTTTAGTGTAACACCAGGAACACAGGCATGAGAGCTTTAATTGTTTGAGTGATTCATTCCCTCAAGAATGCCTTCCTCTCTGTTGGTTTCTGCCGACATAATGCGTCAAACTCTAACTCAAAGTCTCTTCTGCAGAAACCCCGCTGAGCTGAGGAAATGATTTCACACTGCCGACAGGCTGCGTCTCTGTACTACTGAGTTTTTATTTCATTGTGCAATCACTTAGAGGGTTTCTCTTTCTCCCTTTACTCTCCCCTGGGTATTTATCTTGTTTTGTAATGGAGCCTTTGAAGCACTTTGGGGATATCTCAAACAGAACATTAGCTTTGAATGTTTGAAAAGTGCAGTTTAACTTTGAGCATCTCTGCTGCTTCAGATGAAGAGGCTTGTGATTTAACTGTTCAGTGAAAACATGATTTAATAACAGAGCCTGAGAGTTTAATCAGTGCAGGGCTCTGAATCAGTGGATTCTGCAGCAACTGGATTCTAATTAAGAATCATAGATGTGTATAATACAGGGCATCCCAAAGAACCAGAGGGATGGAAAGAAAGACATCAATCAAACCCAAAGAAAAGTAAAACATTATATAATGAATAATTTAGATGAGAAGAGTTTGTGGTTAAAATATCACTGAAAGTATCTCACCTCCAATCAGAAGAACAGACAATTACAATAACACTGGTACACACACCTGTACTAATGACAGAACATATTATAAATAGATGGACTAAGCCACTTAGGGTAAAGTAACATACCAAGGTTTTCAAGTGCAGTGTTAAACCACAAAAGTCAGGCTTTGTTCACACGAGAATAAGAGAATGCTAAAGTTCTAAGAAGCTATTGTTTTCTACCGAGTACCCTTATTACCAGAGGACATGGATATAGCAGGTGTGAGATGAGGCAAACTGTGTGGCACCATCATGAGCCTCACCTGGGGATTTGACTGGAGACTGGCTGGTGGAGAAGTGGACAGTTTGCCTTGCTGCATTATCAAAGGCAACAACAAAAAGAATAGTCAGGTAAATATGATTAGTACACAGTACACACACACATTAAAACACACTTTGAAGTGGTTTGAACTAACCAAGGGCAAACTCAGATTGCAGACACTTCAAATGGGCAAACACTCAAATAAGCTCTCTACCAGCCTTTACGTCAGTTAAGAGAACACTGATTACTCCGCAGAATGTCTCCATCTCTCAATGCACTACACAAAGTGCTAAGTCATTCTGTCACAGCTGATGGATCAGCATGAGGCTGCTAAATAAAAAAATCTATCACTCAGCCTGTCAGCTACAAATGACCTTACTGTGCTCCTGTGCCATCATATTTTTTTTAAGAGGGTTGTAAAACACACAATGTAATAATTTGAAAGACTTGACTTTACAGATTGTCTGCTTACAAGTTAGTATCTTATCTGCGCTTAAATATCTCTTAATTTAAAGAGCTAGCACATGCAGTTTCTATGTGTGTCCCACCTGCACCGGGGGACTTGTTGCGTCGGGAGGGTCCGGGGCTCTTGGCGGACCGGTTTGGAGTCGCAGAGCGGCTGTGCGACGACTTTATCACTCTGCATTCTGAGAAGGACAAAACTCTCAGGGTCACCATCGCATATATTAACCTCCCCTTTACATAAACCTGTTCTTTCTGATGCAGAATTATGACCAAAAAGCTGCAGTACCAGGGGTACGACCTTGAATATGTTATTTATGTCGCATGATGTTATGAAAGCTGGTCACGCTTGATTATAGGAACAGAGAAGACAACTTTTTTTGGCAAAGCAGATCAAAAAAGCATTAATTACAAGATATTAGGGTTAAAGTTAAGATAAATCAGAATAGCCACACTGTAATAATGATTAGGGCTTGTACTCATTCAAAATGTTTTGATATCGATGCAACATTTATGCTACCAATTCCTTCTGAACTGATACTTTTCCAATGTTAAATGTTGAAGCAGCCATACAATAAATTATTATTAGATAATGATAAACAATCTGAATCATAGCTAGGCAAAGAACACTAGACAACTTTCAAGTTAGACAATTAATTAATACCCTCAACCGATACACATTTCAACTTGTGCCAGTGCCTAAAACAGAGACTCAGTAACAAAGCCCAAATGTTGACTTAACAAAAATGTATTTTAGGAAAATCCTCCCAACAACTGGCTAACTGAATATTGACCATACAAAGTGAGGAGGCTCTGATAATTGTTGTAATTTCATTCATTAATGTCACTTTAAATGACACAGGGCTAGGCCAGACAAGGTTAATAATGATCACAAGGTTTAGTGTTCATGGTGTTTGGTGCATTCCACATCTGTTGTGGCATTGCTGTTTGACTGTGTAAGAGTATATGTTGTAAAGAAGTGTGTGGTGAACTTGTCAGGGTTGAGTTAATGAGGGTGGGGGCGATGAGAGGCATCATTTAAATGGCACACACATGCAGAAAAACACGCCCACAGAAGCACACCCACAGTGTCTTTCTAATGTCTTCCCCATGCTATTTATCAACAGATGCATATGATTAAAAGGGCTCTAAATATCGTTCACTTCTTCCTTGTATGGTGTATACAACCCATTAAACCAAATGTGTTTCTAGGGTAACCCCTGAAGTGAGGATATGTATCTCTAATGATGAGGTGCTTGAGCTGAGAACATAACTACTCGTTTTTACTTCTGTCTTTTTGTTGGTGGTTTTTTCATTCATGTTGTGCCTTTTTGTATGATCCATTGCACAGGGCATTTTCCACTTCTGTGTTTCAACAGTAGAGTGTGTTCTTGACCCGTTACACAAGAGGAGTTCCTGTCCCTTTTGCAGAGAGTTAGAGTACTGTGTGCCTATTTTGTTAAGACCTCATTCTTAAAAGTGGAGCACAGGAGTATAAGTGGGACAGAAGCTCCAAACTATCTCTGAATACGACCATGCATCAGTCATCCTCAGTTACAGTGAGCACAGTGTGTGAGGATGGGCCTCCCTGTTGTTAGCTAACCTGAAAAAACAACACAAAAACTAAACAGGATGTCAATACTTTGGACTGTTTCTATAATAAACTCATTTTTCCTTCCAGAGAGGTTGTCCAGTGTACATCGCTCTGACAGAGAGTGGATCTGCTGGTCTAAAGAGGACGTATGCCGCCCTGTGCTTTTGAAGTCTATTTTTTTTAAATATGGTGGTGATTTCTAATAGGCAATTTGCATAAAATCCTCAAAGAATGAACACAAAGTCATTTACAAAATCGCATAATAACATTTCAGAGTGCAGTGTGTGTTTGATTCTGTTCTGTGGATGCTGCACTGATCGCTAACTATACTCTATGCAAATACAAAAGCTGATTTTTCTATACATTTATAATAAACAAAAAATAATTGGTAAGAGAATCATATAAGTAAATAATTTCCTGCTGTAAACTTCCTAAAAGGAAAAGAGTGTTGAAAGCACAAGTGAGTGAAGCATGGTGAGGAAGGATACAGAGGCAAACACAAAAGCACACACACACAACCACACACACACAGACGGATGTTTAGTTAGTCTTAGTCAAGCCTACCAGTCACAAAGGCTGTGGAAGCCTTACCACTGTGATCCAACAGGAAGTCATCCTGCGTATGGCGGTGTTTCTCCATGCCACACGCAATAAACACATCATCGTCCCCGAAGAAGTCCTGCAGGCAGATAACCTGGAGGAAGAAAGGAAAGGAGAGAGAAGAAGTGAAAAAGATGGATAATACTTAGAAAGGTATAATAATACTTTGTATGATACCAAGAGTCTGGAGAATGGGATACTTTACACAAGCATTACCTAATCAGACCACTACCACAGTGCATATTAAGATTGTACTTCAAATTAATTCAATTTTGAGACATAGTGGTCCTTAAGACACTGCAACACAATCATACTGAATGTTTCACATAACTCTACTGACAGTTGGTGGCAAGAATGTAGTATTTCAAATATTTACAAAGCTCTGTTGTATGAGTTGGTCATCTGAGAAGAATACGAATGACTCGTTGGTCTTGGTGGGAGTCTTGTTATTAAATAGTTATTTGATTGTGAACAACTAAAGCAATTTACTTTAGTTTCTTTCATAAGACATGGATGATGTAGTCTGATTAACTAGTGTTCCTAAAATAAGATGATGTGATTCTCCTGCCTTTCATTCTACTTGACATGTATTAGCTGTATTCTTTTTAATATCAAACATAGTCTCTTGTGCTCATTGAACTAGGCCAATAAAATCAGTCTGTGGGATGTGTGTTGTACGGTAAGGTTGTGACTGTGTAAATGTGTGTGTATTGAGTCAACAGCACAGAGAGATGGAGCATAACAACAGGACGAGGTCAAAACACCCAGACACCCAGAATACTGCAGAGTCAATGCAGAGTCATGAAAGCAGCAGTGTGTGTTTGTGCTGCAGGGTCATCTGTCTTGCTTTTTCTATACTGTCTCACACTGTGGTCGTCAGTTTTCTGAGTTAATTGTAAAACACACACACACACACACACACACACACACACACACACACACACACACACACACACACACACACACACACACACACACACACACACACACACACACACACACACACACACACACACACACACACACACACACACACACACACACACACACACACACACACACACACACACACACACACACACACACACACACACACACACACACACACACACACACACACACACACACACACACACACACACACACACACACACACACACACACACACACACACACACACACACACACACACACACACACACACACACACACACACACAATCCCTCTGTTGCTGTAGGTGGACAAGTGGGAGGAAAAGATCTGTTCATTATCCCATCCTTCATCACACACAATTGCACCCACATAAAAGAGCCCCCCCCACACACACTGCCTTGCATATGTACTGTATACATGCAAACACACACACAAAACAAGAGTATGGAGGAGCGCAAGATGGCAAAAGATTGTGGGCAGATGGATCCTCTGAGGGAGATGTGGGGGCTGACTCAGTGGGGTGGTGTGTGTGTGTGTATGTGTGTGTCAGTTGGTATCATGAACACTGTGGTGGTCAGGAAATACTTAATTACTACTACAGAGCATAAACAATCTCCACAGTAGAAATAGAGTAGGGGTGTGACATCTGACAAACAAAAATAGTAATGTCGTAACATTTAAAACCACAACAAAATATCATTCCAGTATAGGCCTGAGGTACACATTCATTAATAATGAATAAGACCCTTCACATGACACTTCTGCATGTCCTACATTCGGAAGCATCAATTAAAAATGAAACAGGAAGCCGTATCCATAACATGCTCATGAATAATACATAAACACCTTTCCTGGCCTTCATATGGTCTTTTTGTCTAATCTTCCGGTGGCCTCTTTACATGTCAACAAATACAAATAATCAGTGAAAGTAGATCAGGAGTGTTAATATGTGTCCACACTGAGCTGTGGTGAGTATCAATGGTTTGACATAGCTTGAATATTTGCCATTCTTTGGATGAGCTCTCCCTCTGGAATCTGGCAGCTGATCGCCACACCATACTGTCAGGGCACAGGTGTTAGAATCACCATGGCAACAGCCCACAGGGATAGTCCGGTGTCAAAAATGGACTCTGGTGTGGCGAAGGATATGATAGTGAGAGACTTTTGCATGCAGATATTAGATGATATGTCTCCCTGACCTCTGACCTGTGTACGCACACTGCTTCCTCTGGTGCAGACATCATCATGTTCACACTGTGCTGCATTCCTTTCATTCACTTGATGGGCTGCGTTGGTATGAAGCACGCTGGTCGTTTGTTAGAGGACAACGTGACACTGCATGACAAAGGACTGCTGAAGTGAGCATTGTCCCCTGGCAGGAAAATCTCCTACAGTGGTGACATCTGCCGTCAGAGACCGACAGCTCAAACATTGAGAAATACGCCACCTTGCTTTAAATGTAAAGATTTATACAATGTTTATATTTGTTAAATAAAGCGATACAGCCAGCAACCAGTTTGCTTAGCTTAGCTCAAAGAGTGGAAACAAGGGCAAACAGCTATCCTGTCTCTGTCCAACTTTTACTAAATCTAACTACATGCAACAGTAAAGCTCACAAATTCACCTGTTGTTTAAACATTGAAAGATCTAGCTCAAAATAAATTATATATTTGTTCCATATTACAAGGTTAAGTGCCAGGCTATAACGTCCTACAGTTTCTCTTGGTTGCATGGCAACAGCTTAGGGATAAAAAAAAAAGAGTCCAGCACATAAATTCCCCATTACACGTTAAAATGTAATTTTTGTTACTGATGGAGTCAGATTAGCAGTTTTACCCTCCTGTTGTTAGTCTTTCTGCTAAGCTAAGCTAAGCTAACCATTCTCTGCAGCACCTTCAAATTTAAGGGACACTAGATTTTGATCAAATCTGGCTAATAAACTGTCAATAAGAAGAAAAAAAACACAAAACATTCCCCAAAATGTCATGTGACGCTGTCTACAAGCTAAGTTCTGCATTTTCGTTTCTGAATCTAAAAAAACCATTGACTAAATCCCCTCACATTCATTTGAATTGGTGTTGCTGCAGGACATGTTGGCTCAACACCAACTGAGGCAACAGGCTTAGATAGAAGAAATACAGGGCTAGAATATTAGATATCTTGTTTGAGAGAGCCCCTGGCTGTAATCTAATTTACTTTCACCTCTACACACACACCTCTCTCACTGCATGCTAGCACTGCTGTGGCTGTGATAAAATATATTTCAGCCTGCAGGCGATGCCCAGGGGAAAGCAGTGAAATGGAGACAAATGTCTGAAAAGACCCAGGTTCGAAAACAAAACTGCACTATTTACAATAACCTTATTAGGATGACTGTATATACCTGAATAAAGAAGAATAAATGCTTCGAACAAAATGTGTTGTTTGGTCAAAGGTTTTTCTTAAACATTATCATACTGTATGTGCAGCAGATCATTTGGATAAAAAAAAGGATTGTATGAATGTCAGATTGCATTGCCCATGTTTCTTCTTGCTCTTGTCAACCACGGCCAACATGAACAGCCATTGGCCCTCCATCACAAGAGCTGTTCTGCTAGGGCTTGTCTCGGCCAATCGGTGAAGTGTTATGTTTGCAGGGTCCTGTCATTGGCTGGTTGACGTGTCTTGAGGCTAAACTGAAGTTTGCCCTGTGAGATGCAACAAACCCCCTCCTCTTTTATGTCTGGTCTCTTGCTCTCACCATCAGTCTGTGTCTTCTATGATGCCTGCTGTGCATTCTGCCCTGCCACGCTTGGCAACAGAGGAACGACAGGCCGAGGGCTTCAAGTATGTGTGAAAGTGTCAGGAGAAATCAAGGTTTTTAACATGCATTTAAGAAATGTCATATCTAAGTTGTTTTCAATCAAACCAAAATGGGCAATAGGTTCTGATAATGGTTGTCAGTGGTTTCAACAAACGTAATACTTGTGTGGTTTGGATTTTCAAAGCATGAAAACAAACCAAAACATCTATTATCCAAATATATTCCAAACATAAACAATGTAATTCAACTGCACTGAGTGGGTGGGACTTGTCTTCTCTTGCTCCTAAGTCAGGGCTTTGTTCCAAAAAGAAATGTCACACCGCAGGTGGTGGTGAATCAGGGCAGTGGAAAAGACAGTGACTGGGTAAACAAGATACACAGAAGAAGATACAGGCTCTCCTTATGGCTGACAACAGTCACAGTAATCATTGGGTACCATCAACCCCTTTGACCTCCAAACCCCTTATTGCTGCTCATCACACTGAGCCAAAAGAGCAAGAGGCAAATAAGGTGATTTGAGTCCTGAGGGAAAGACGATTGGAAATTCAACCTCTGGGAAGGTCAGCCTACACAGCACTCCTGCTAAAACAAAGGAATTTACCTATCATGGCATCTAGCATTATTTACCTACTCTTGGTTGGTATTATAGAAGGGTCATCAAGAGTACGCCAGATTTGTTTAAATGATCTAAGAAGAAACCCCAATGTTCCCAACTGTTCTCTATGAAAGTAGCTAGCATCACTAGCTCCAAAGGTTTAGGGCATTAATACGCCATTGAAGCGTCTGCTGGATCTAAAAGCTGCAAAAGTCGCTCAATAATGTGAGAAAGTTGCAACAGTGAAACACTCACTGTCCGTCCTTTTAAGCCTTTCTCAAAAGCCACATGGTTATCAGGTAGGTAGAAATGATACAGTCCTGTGACAGACATATATACAGCATTTTCTTTCAGAGCATATGATGTATTGTATTTCTGTCAGGATGTAAAGAAAGTGTAAACAAATATAACAAAAAAATGTTCTACATTATATTACCCACTCATGCTTTAACTCTCCCATAAGTACTTCTGACTCAAGACTATCCAGATAGCTAAATATGTATACAATTCACCAGGGTGATACTAACGCTACATCCTAACAGGTGATTAACCCTGTTTGAACTCTTACTAGGTTAGGTTGTCTTGTCCGGCAGTGGCTCAGTCAGTAGGGGGCTTGGACTGGGAGCTGTAGGGTCGCCGGTTCAAGTCCCCGACCAGACCTAAAATATGAAGTGTGGACTGCTACTTGGAGAGGTCCCAGTTCACCTCCTGCCCTGCCGTGGTGCCCTTGAGCAAGGCATCGGACACCCCCCTTCCCCCCCCA